AGATTTTTCTCGGGAAAGTAGCGCTCTGCTCTCAGTCAAGTTAATAGATTTCGATCCCATAAACAAAGACGGACAGAAGCTGAGTAGCCTCGGCAGACAGCGATTGATCGAATTTCAATAGATTCTTTTGATGATGGTACAAGCGGGAGGAGTTGTCGAGAGTAGCCATGCGGTGGCACCACCCCTTCCCCACCCGCCTCAGCGGCGGCCCAGGGTGAGAGAAGTCAGTTCTAGGTTCATGTCTCCAGTGGCATCCTCGTACTCTGGTGAACCAGCCAGATCGCCTCTTCTCAAGCAGCAGCGCTCGATCTCAACACAGCGGCAAAGGCGGCAGCTGGAAATGGAGGCAGATGAGAACAGGCCTGCCCCTTCTGAGACTCCACGGAGATTGGAATCCTCGTTTGTCAATACTAATAGTAGTAGTAACATTCAAAAGAAAGATCACCACTGCAGAACCTATAGCGATAGTGGCAAATTATTTGGGAGAAGTACAACAGGCGCTCCTTCGAAGCCTGACACGCCCACGCCCACGCCCACGCCCACGCCCACCATCACCAGTTTTGACAGATCCGCAACATTATCATCATCATCAAGAATAAGATTAAACCACCGCTCTGCCAACATATCATCAACGGCCACAGCCTCAGCCGCTGCAAAGCTGTCGCAATCTAGCGGGATGGCCTTGTCATCAAAATCAAATGTTTCATCTCCCTCTCAGGAAGCCTCTTCCGTTTCTTCCAACGACATGGGCAGCACGGTTCGATCCCTTATAAATTTCCGCTCTTCCATGCCTGAGGCAGATCTGTTACCTCCCGTATCCACTCGATTGCTCACCGACAGAAATGTCAATAACGCTGTCGACTCATCAAAACTCCCTGCTTCCCCTTTCTCACGCTCTCTGAATTCACCGTTATCTACTTGTGAACCGTCTCTATTTCATCATCCAAATCCTTCAATAAAGGGCGTTTCTACTAGGATGGGGCCCCTTTCCCTGCCTCTGGTCCCTTCCCATACAAAGATCGGGACGGATGCAATAAGGAGGCCAAAGAAAGTTTCCAGTCATCAAGAAGATCTGCATTCCCTAAAATTGCTTCACAATTATTACCTGCAGTGGAGATATGCCAATGCAAACGCAGAAGCCTCCATGAAAATTCAAAAAGGAGAAACTGAGGTTAGCCCTGTGCTCTAGTATTTTTTTTTTTTTTCAATAGGCTATTTTTACATATGCATCTCATTCCTCATTCCTCAATGAAAGTGAAATACAGATACTAACTTCCTCACCATTGGAAGAAAATCCAATTAGCACCATTTGATGCTTTTGTCATGTTAGATAAACCTGGGGTGTAGGCCCTTGCTCGCTCCATTCTTGGGAACTAGTCTACTCATCAAATTTACACGGTCTCGACATAGACTTATAGATGCCTCAGCTTAGAGAGCAAAGTAACCCATACTTGTACTACCAAAGGGATAAATTTCATGAAAATTTTTATTTATCACCTTCTGTGACTTCGGAATCTTGTACCTTATTTTTATCTTCAATGACAATAAATAATATATCACTTCATTAGGAAGCATTAAATGGGTCGCTACTCACAGATTAGAACACCACAACCTTGTTCAAACTCCGAACAGTGGTAAACTGTTGATGCTTCTGTGTTGAAGATCTTTGTGGGTACACCGTCATACTTTTCTAGATTATAGTTTAGTAGTTAGAATGTTCTCCTATCTTTCAAAAAAAAAGAAATTAGAATGTTCTCCTTTTCCAGCTAAGCTGGTAATTAACGGTGTAACATTGATCTTTTGGTCAATGTATGTTGAATAAAAGGTCAATTTATGGAGGTTGTTCTTTTGAGACAAAAATCAGTGTAAACTGAAGCTAATGCATTTCTTATTAACATTGGAGCATAAGATCTTCACTCTGACCACTAAGAGAAGCAATGCAATTACAGTAATATCTAAACGATTTAAGTTGGAAAAGAAAGGAGAAAATGATAACAGACAAGAAAAGTTATAAAGACTGAATTGAGGTGAATTTACATTCAGAATTGAGAATACTTAAACCAGTTGCTGTAAATGAATTGAGAATACATTCAGAAAGTTAAAATAATGGTTATTGTTACTAATCCCCAAATCTATCCACTTCTGAGGAGATTTAAAAGTGAGTCCAGAAAGAAGTTGTGATTTATAATTTCTGTTCTTTCCTCTGAATATTTCTCCCATAAGTTGTCTATTTAGACAAGGGAAATGTTAACATTTCTATGTCGCCCTTTGTTTTTTCTCTTTCCATTCACTTTTCATTCACTTTTGCTCTCTTAAAGAAAAAGAAAGTTGGTTGTGATCGTTGGCAATAACTATTTTGGTACTGAAGTGAGTATAGCTTCACATAGAGGGCAGAAAACATATTAATTCTAAGGCATTTTGTCTGTTGATACTTCTTAGTCACTGCCACATTCTCAACACTCAATAATTTGATAGCTTATTAAGTATTTTTTGATTCAACTCTTTGCTTTTACCTGCTTGTCTGTCTCTTGCACTTCTATGCTTTACATACACTCTATATTTTAAAATTTTATTTTTAATTTCTGTGGACGGCATTTTCTTTCTTTTTCTTGTCAACTTTTTAAACTCATCTTCTCACTGTTATAGTAATATTAACAATCCTTCTCGTGTTCATCCATTTTGGTAGAGAACACTTTATTCTCTTGAAGTGAGGATAGCGGAGTTGAATGACTGTGTGAGAAGGAAACGCATTGAACTTGAACTTCTGCAAAGAATGAAAACCTTATCAAAGATTCTGGAAGCTCAAGTAAGGTTGTTGACCTGGTGAATATGTATATCTTATTTGCATTCATGAACTTTTGGAGTAGACAATCTTTCAAGCCTTCAAAATTTTGCACCATTGCTTGGTTTACCTCATCTTGCATAACCATGCCTTTCTTAAGGAAATCAAATTTGTAAGATCATACATTCTCTGAAATTAAAACATTATTATTCACAAGTTACATGTGCTCTTTTGGCTCTTTTTAGATGCCATATCTAGAAGAATGGTCTGCCCTTCAAGGGGATTATTTAAATTCATTGTCAGAAGCAATTCAATCTTTGTTGAACACTTCTCTTCGACTTCCAATCAGTGGGAATGTTAAGGTATGCAGTTTCCTTTGTTTTTTTTTTTCTTTGTGGTATGTTCACCATTTATTCAGATGGAGAAATTTCCTTTTTAATGTTTTTCTTCCAATATGCCATGTGTATTTGATTCCGGCCATGAGTTATGTTTGCAGGCAGATACAAGAAAGGTAGCGGAGGCAATGAAATCTGCAATAAAATTGATGGAAATGATACTTTGCCATGTTCAAAGCTTTATGCCAAAGGTAGGGTGGATTGTCTTACAGAAATCCTATTCACAAAAGAAAGAAAGAAAAGAAAATAAAGTAAGTAACAAGAAGATTATATGGATGCATTTTGCTGCTTATTTTCCAAATTTGCCATGCTCAAAGCTTTATAACAAAGGCAGGGACAGGGCGGAAGGATTGTGTTGTAGAAATCTTATTCAGAAGAAAGCTAAAAAAATGAACAGAAAACTAACAAGAAGATTATATTGATGCATTTTGTGTCTTGTCTTCCAAATTTGGCCAGCCTATGAAAAAATGGTTCTTTTCTAATATCACAGGCTGAAGAAATGGAAAGATTGATTTCAGAATTAGCCAGAGTGGCAGGTGGGGAAAGAGCTCTTATTGACGAATGTGGAGATCTATTGTCCAAGACAAATACATTCCTGGTTAGCCTTCAAAATATATCTTCTTATCTTCCCAGCTATGAAGTTGCTTCTGAGAATAGCACCTGGTTTATGACAAGTTTTCTTCATTTGATTGTGTATGAACTTATAACGATTGCTTTGCTTATAGCTGGAAGAGAGCAGTTTAAGAGGGCAGCTTATGCAGTTGCAATTGGTTCGTGTCCCGGTAAACTCCAACCATATGTGATCTTCAGCTACTAGCTTGAGACTGAGCCAAAGAAACTTTGTGTTCTTTTTCTTTTATCACTCAGAAGAAATTCCTCATGCATGGGTATGTATTTCCTTAAAATATGTACAAAATAATAATTGAAAAGTTGTGCTTTGTGAATATTTATTATTACACACCTTTTTCTTTCACTCGATTTGGGAAGTTATAAGTCTCCATTATCTTAACCGAACAACTAGATCAAATGAGAGTGTAGTGTAGTTGTAGTGCAGTGTTTATAAACTTAATGTACATTCTCTCGAATTGGAATTTGGAAAGGACCTTTCACGGTCCAAATCCTTGAACCTTGTCTGCGAAGTTGTGTTCTTATTTGCCATATGGATTGGCCATCTGGTATGAGAAAGATAGCTAAAAAAAAAAGCACATGCCGGGTATATACTCGGCACTGAATAATATTTTGCAGATTTCTGAATCTAGTATAAACATACATATGATCAAGTCAAGCTTATCGTTGCTCAAGGATCACGGCAGCGCTCAGTATTTCTCCAACAAATATCATTACATAATATTATGCATCCCTCTTCTTTTTGAACTCTACCACAGTCACACTTTTAACTGAAATTAATGTTCTCCTCTCTTGTATTAGATAAGAGAGATGGTTTGCCACTTTTAGTGGTACTTTTAATTTGCCTAACGCATGATTTAAATTCATATGTAAATAGATGTAAATATGATCATTTTATGAACAAGAAAATAAGTTGCAAGTCAAAAAACAGTCGGGCATCTATCACGTGCAAGTGCAAGTGCAAGGTCCCAAAATTCTCAAGTGTCCGAGACTATCAAATTCCAAGTTACTATTGTAGCGAAAAACGCATCCGTAGAGTATGGGCGGAGCGGACTGGGTCAGCTTCGTGGTTAGCTTTTAAAAGTATGGATCCGGAATGGTCCCTCCCAAACCAGGCCCGACCTGGTCCAATGGACCACTCTAAATAGAATAGAAGGGTACATATTGAGATTATTTATTAGAGGGAAAGGCAGAGACTCAGGAAACAACAATTGGCAATAGCAGCGTGATACAGGAACCAGAACATCACTGCAATCAGAAATGAATGCTAGTGCCGCAGCGGGAGTGGGCATTTCCCCCTCCACCTCTAAGCCATTGGCCATGGGCTTAACACCAATCCCTATCCGTTTGCGCTGGAGGAGGAGTTGTTCGATGATTGAGACGGAGGCCGAGCTAGCTGAGTCGGAGGCCCAACCCGTCTTTCGCCGCCTCATTCTGCTTCGCCATGCCAAGAGTTCTTGGCAACATACAGCTCTGCGAGGTACCTTGTTTTTTTTTTTTCTTTTAATTTGGTTCAGTAGCAGTCTAGCCTCTTGTTTTATTAACCACAAACCATGCTTAATCGCTTATCCTTGCTATCTTAATGGTGAACGCTATAATTTGGCGAACCGCAACCCCATCAGATCATGACCGTCCTCTCAGTAAAACCGGACGAGCTGATGCCGCCTTGGTTTCTAAAAAGCTCCAGCATATGGGTTGGATCCCTCAGCTTATTTTATCTAGGTTAGCTAGCTTATTTTCTGTCAACATCATATTTCGAAATTCATATTATTGCTTTTTAAAAGAGAAAAAAAAATATCTCATTCTCTTGATTCATATTGCTCCAGTGATGCCCTGCGAACCAGGGCAACACTTAATATCATGCAGGAACAGGTGCGTGGTTTTCTGGAAGCAGAGGTCCATTTTATCTCAAGTTTTTATTCCATTGCAGCCATGGATGGCCAGACTGCTGACCACCTCCAACGAACTATCTGTCAGTATTCAAGGGATGAAATACTTACCATCATGTCAGTTTCTTTTTGTCCCTACTCTCTTATTCTCACTTTGATTTTTCCTTGGCTGTCTTCTTTTTATTTCTACCTGTCATTCAAGTTCAAGCATTGGGTAACTATAAGTTGCCACTCTTTACTTGAAACCTGATTGAGTATTATGGCATGCATATGTCCGAAGAAAATGTCTCCTCATAGTTATCACGCAGTCACACTTTTTTAGTTATACAGGTGTATGGGGCATAATAGGGGATGGGAAGAGGCAGCCTCCATGTTCACCGGTGCTTCCATAGAGCTGAAGACCTGCAATGCTGCTTTGCTTGAAGCTACTGGAAAATCTTGGGAAGAGGTTTCATTTCCTTTCTTCATAAAATATTTTCTGTCGTGTTGTCCCATTGTCATTTTTACCTTTTTTTTTGTGGAAGTAATGTATATGAAGTATAAACTTTATAAGTTCAGCAATATGCCGCGTCCAACCACTTAATACTTCTATATTCTATGTTTTTTCTGCAACAATTATACTCTTTAACAACTTCTGCTTCCTTCTGCTACAATCGATCTGGTAGAAGTGGTGCTAACTTGGACTTGTAAACTATTTTCATAATTCTTATGAGGCAAAACTTAGTTTCTGTCTCAAGGACTATTCAGTTGCATGCTTCATAGAATCTGAAGATTTGATGGTGGAGTAGGTTGAAATTATGTTTGAGAACAGGTTGCATGATGGATCAGACTGATGCAGGCTTTCTTTCTTTTGTTCTTCATCTTCTTCGTCTTCTTTTTTTTTTCAATAAGAAAATTGTAGTTGGACATTTCTGCTTAAACCTATTTGCCTAATTTGTATGAAATCAGGATTATGTTGCTCATACTCAGGGGTGAATGTGGGATACAGGTATGTGTCTGACACGGGTATGTTCTACTTTTTCTAAGTTTTTCCTTATATTTGGAGGGTCAGAAAGCCATACGACATCTGTCAGATTTGTATCAGGCACAGGTCAGGAAAAAGGAAGTGTCTGAGCACATAAACTCAGACAATTCAAGGGTTCATTTAGAGGCCTACAGGATATTTTGTTGGACCAGATATGTCTGTCATGATAATTTTAAAAACTTTTAAAGCCATAGTCATTTGAAGTTCAAACATCAGTGAGGCCTAGTGCTAAAATTTTTTGAAACCTATTCCTGTGTTGGGTAAACACAGCTGGCTTCAAATTTAGGGCAGCATTACATAAGTCCTTCACTAGTAAACAAATGGGAGAAGCGGGATCAACCTTGTTGAGAGGGCTGGTTTGAGTGATGCCCTTCTGGAGAAGTATAAGTAAGCTTATAAGGTTACAAATGAAGGCAGTCACCTAACTTTTGCTACTGGTGAGCATAGATTTGAGTCAACCTATTTTTCATGGTGTGGAGTTTTTTCTATTTTTCTAAGTTAATGTGCCTGTGAGAGATTCTTCATTGAAAGGGTGTCTTTCATTTTCATAACTGGATGGGGATGAAACCTTGTGGCTGAGCTGTTTTACCGTGGCATTTCTCAAGAAAACTGGTGCTGCATAAAAGACAAATTTGCTGAATGAATTCTGTAACAAGAGCAGATTGGAATTTAACATATAAGAAACCTTACTCCTTCAATCCATCTCACAATAGATTTATGATGTTTCTTCTGCCTGATCCCTTATAGCCTTCTTCGTGGTTGACAGGTTTTTAAGAAGATTCTTTTTAATTAAATTAACTTCTAAGTATATAGAGAGCACTGGTTAAATGTCATTTTTGGACTGGACTTACAGAGATGAAGATGGAAAAACTTGACCAGTGCTGCATAATCACCATATTCAATAATTTTCTGAGTTAAGATTGGAGATTTATTTGTTTATAATTTTTTAATGGATGAATCATTACTGAACCTAGTGTCTTCCTTTCCATGTTACCTTTTCAGGCATTTTCTGTAGCAGGATTTGGTGGATGGAAGCTCCAAGGCATAGTGACACCTAGTAGTAACCTGTAGAGTGTAAACAGTAAAAAATTTTGAGCAAATCTAATCCCTCCCCACTGCAAGGAAAGGACAATTATTCAAGGAAGCATTAGCCAGAGTTGGTAACAGGTGGTTGCCAGCTTTGAATCACTACAGATGTTAGTTGTTTGCACTCTGCATGTAGCAACTGTTGAAGTGGATCTTGATCAAAACATACATAGCAATTCCAGCTAGCATGTGGAATCTGAGGGGCAGCTATCTTGAAAGAGTTGCCTCTTTTGCTTGGTTCATGATATTCCGTGACAATATGATTTTGCGGCCCTTTTCCGTCAGATAGATTTCCTGTTGCGTTACACTATAGTGTGGTAGAAAATGATTAGTTGAAATGATTACTTGATTGCACTGCGCTTTGGATCATTTTATGGTTTGAGGTCTCATGAATGACCCTTGTTTTTCTTTGCGTGAATGACCATTTGAAAAACTGGGTGGTTTAGCTAGCAGGGTAGTTAGCAAAAATAACGGAAAGGTTCAAGAGGGGACAGGACAGGGGAGTGATCTGTAATGTCAGCCAGCTACCATTGAAATCATTGTGGAATGATTACAATTGTCCATGTTGAAAATAAACGCTATTCAAGGAAACGAGGGATCATTTCTCTTTCTCTTCCTTCACATAGCTTAAATGCAAAGGCTACCATCTGAGATCAGCGGCAAGCAACCTTTGGAGGGAGATGCCTTTTGCATTTTATTTCACTTTGTTTGAGAATCTCCATGAATGAAGCTTCTTGCATTCTTGATCGTCTCAACTGTAGTTTTATATCTGCAGAAGTGAGTAAGAAAAGGAACTAGAAAGTAGAAACAGTTGAGTTGGAAACCTTGTCACGTGAGTTACACCGGTGCGCCTATTTAAAAATGACCTTTATTTATTTATAAAACATTAATTTCGTAAAAAGTTTAATACAAAATATACTGAAAATCAATTTTTTGGTTACACAATGTGAAAAGTCAAAAAGAAATGTGTAGTTAGATAAACGTTTCGCTTTTTTTTTTTTTTTTTAAAAAAAAAGGAGAATGCGGCTCGTAAGAGATAAAAAAGATTGTAATAAAAACGGTTTTTGGAATTGGGAGACAAAAGAAAAAAGAAAAAGGGGGAAAAACATCCAATATTCCAATTTGCATTTTCGACCCTCCCAATACCAGTCCCAGTCCCAGTCCCAGGGACAGACCCAGTAAGTTGGAGGAGGGTCAAAAGAGAAGGCTCCGTCTCTGGCTCTGAGCTGTGCTTACTTGTTCTTGCCTCGGTGGTTGCCACCCCATTCTCAGCTTCAAAGAGCCCTAATCCCAGTGAGCTCTCTCTCCTCCTTTTTCCCTATTTTGGAATCTCTACTCCGTTAACTTTTGCTTCCACGTTATGGTTTGAAAAGTTTGTTTCTTTTCTTTCCCCTGTTTGTGAGATCTGAAACCGGATTTCCTCGGTTTTTTTTGTACTCGAATTGCATTCATTCCTCCAAAATAACACTATAAAAAATTCATCTCCTTCCCGTGTCTCACGGTACAATTTTCATTAGAATGTCCAATCAAAAGTTCAAATTCCCTTTGGGTCCTTGGCGCATTAGATCTGGAATAGTTTTTGCTTGAGCTTTTTGTTTCATTTTCCATTTACTGTTTTCGTACTAATTGGTTGTTTTTTGGTTAGTTGCTAACAGGTTGGATGTGTTTGTGATTGGGTGGCCTGGCCGTGGTGAAAATATCAGCTCAAATTAAAAAAGCGATTATTTTATTTTATTTTATTTTTTAAATTTGGGACAAGGGAGGTCGGAGTTGGATGCTATGTGATGATGGTGGGAAAATTTTCTGCTCAAGTCTCTGGGACTGCAAATGTATAATTTGATGTATGGCTCTTAAGATGCCGGTGTTTCTATTGTCCCCTCTGTTCCATAAAAGGAAGCTTCTCCCATAATTGCTATAGAAGGAGTTCAATTCAAGCGACCAAAATGTTGAAAAAGTGAATTTGGAGCTTCTCACACTCTGCTGGAGTGGTTCACGGTTCTGACTTCTGACTGTCTTTCACTTTCAAAAGCTCACTAAAAGCAAGATGATTGATCAGTTCATCAATTTTGTTATTCGACCTCCCAGGTATCTCTCTGTTGTTCTATTCCACCCTAGTTCCTCGCTTATCTCTTGAAGTTGGAACCGACCCAGGGGCCTAACCTTTCCTTTGCATTTTAGCTCTATCTTGTTCCTTTTATGAAGGCAAAATTATGCTAGGAGCTCATTTAAAGAGGTCTGAATGCCCATAATATGGATAACTTTATCATTATAAGCTCATTATGCTTACTAGTTTTACCTTTTATATTGGTTCCTCCCTATTTGAGCATGCGTTAGCTATGATATTGTGTGCCCGTGTTAGCATGATAAAGTTACTAAATATGAAAGTGAAAGATAAAAACATAAAAATAATTCAAGAAAAAAAAGACAGAGAAGGGAGGACTATACTTCAATTTTTGGGAAGGGTTCTGTGCAAAGGGAGAGTTATTGCATCCATATATCTCGCTATTTGCATTTCAAACACCTCCCTTCATTGTGGCACTCCCATCAATCTGAAACCTTTGCTTGCCCTCCCCACTATCAAAAAACACCAAAAATGGGCAAAGCTCTATGTAAAGCCTAACCAAACAACAAATTTGGCTTCATTGCTAAATGCTTCTCTCATATTTTTAAGAGCCTAATGGTTTCTTCCTTTTGAGGGCTTGTTCTTACCAGCTTGAAACAGATTGCATCCTTTCTGGTGTGAGTCATCTCTTCTTTGCATGTTAAGGAACTAACTTAGCTAATTATCGTTGCCTCCATCTCATTTGTTGATTTGCAGCTCCTTTGTTATTAAGCAATGGTTTGAGCATTTGTAAGAGCTGCACTGCTGCTCAAATCATTGATCTTCCCTTCAGTCACTAATCTTTTGTGCTTTTCTTGTATGGACATGCAGGGCTGATTATAACCCAGACCAGTATCTGTGGGAAAGGGAATTTACACTTGCTGGAAGGCAATACAAAAGACAAGATTTGGAGGCAAGTATGGACATCAATTAACCTCCTTTCTCCCTTTTATCTCTTTGTCTGACACACATCTCTATGCATTATATTATAGCTTTTTGGAACTTGTTAGATTATCCTTTTCAATTGTATACAGCTTACGAATGCAAGGGGCTATACGTTGCGCTGTAGTCATTATATGCCTTCACCTTTCCCTGAAGAGACTCCTCTCCCTTGTGTTATATACTGCCATGGAAACAGGTATGTAATTTTTTTCATGCCTTTTGGTGACATGTAAATTGTAGATTTAAATGGTTTTAGAGGGGATTGTGCCTGAAAAGGAATTGTTCTGCATCATTATCGAAGAGTGCATAGCACAAAAAGAGGTGAAAATTTACTTTTTCATTTTTCTCCTTGTGGATGATTGTAGTGGATGTAGGGCTGATGCCAATGAGGCTGCCGTAATTCTTCTTCCGTCTAATATTACGGTATTCACTCTTGATTTTTCGGGTTCAGGCTTATCCGATGGTGATTATGTTAGCCTTGGCTGGCATGAGGTATGTGCCCACTCTACTTGATTGCGTCTGTTATCTAAGTTTGATGAATGTTTTTGTTTTCTTTTATGTCTTTGTATAATTTTTTACTATTAATTTTTAAATCCTTGACAGAGAGATGATCTCAAGATTGTGGTATCATATTTGAGAAGTGAAAAACAAATATCATGTATAGGTCTTTGGGGACGATCAATGGGTGCTGTCACCAGGTGTTTCAATTGTCACTTCTTAAGTTATTGCATTTTCAATTGTTTTATTACACCTTTTGCTTTCTCAAACATGAAATGTTTCAAAGCTCTTGTTATTGGGTGTTTTGGAATGCCTATGTTGGTCTTGTTAGAGTGCTAGAGGAGGTGAATAGCACTAGAAATTTTAAGGTTTGCCTTTTTTAACTTGTAAAGCTCTTAACCAACTAGAGGAAAAAAGGTTTAAAACTTGTTATAGCTAAAAGACACAAAGTAAAGAAATGTAGAGAGAAGTGGATAATGCACAAGTGTTTATAGTGGTTTGGTATCCTTGACCTACATTCACTAACTTCATCTCCCAATTAAGGATTTTCAAACCAATTTCCTTATATCAGTGGAATTAACAGCTTCCACTAAGCTTTTAGAAGGTGAGCTTCTAACCCAAGCTTTAATTCCTTATAAATAGGCTCTAGAGTGCTTTCCACACACTGATTTACCAAGAAAAGAGAAAAAAAAGTACAAATGATTATTCTTACAAATCTAGGATGAATACAAATAAGCTCAAACATTTTTACAAGAATAGGAATGAAGAACAAGTGTGTAGGAGAAGGTTCTTTGGCTTTTTACTCAAAATAGGTTTACTTATTTGACTGTTGGAGCTTCAATTTATACTTGAGGGAGTAGATTTTGCTGTTATAAACAGTTTCCAGCCATTGGGAACAACTCTGTTGCCATTCTAGTCGTTATTTTATCCTTTAGCGTTTAAATTCAAATAGACAAACAGAATTCCGTTAACTAGTTACAGGTAGGCTCTAACCGATTACTTCCTCTCTGACTTGTATAGTCTGGCAGCTCTGTTCCCAGTGTTAACTGATTAAAAGAGACTCTAACCCATTAAGAACTCTCTGCTTTCAAAGTTCTCTGTCTAGCAGCCTTTCTTTAATTGGTTAACCCTCATTTTCATTGATTGAAGATTCACTTCCTTCAACCTTAACTGTTTAAAATCAGCTTTAATCAATTAAAAAATCTTTGAATTTGAATTTCTTCTTTTTGACTCCCTTTAACGGTCAAACTTATTTCAAATTTTGATTTTGGCACTGGAAGGTACTTAACGTCTTGTGCTCTAACCAATTAACTCAATTTCTTAACTGATTAGCATGCCTCTGTTTTTAGCTTCTAGTACTTAAACTTGGTGCTAACTAATTAAGGTTTTTTTGTCTTGGTTCTATCCAGCGCTCAGTTATGTTTTAACTGATTAAGGCTCCTCGTTAATCAGTTACTAATGTTCCGTCTTCACTAATTACTTTCTTCTTTCTTTCTTTCTTTAACTGATTAACTCTTCTTTAAATTTAGCTAGCATTTTTTACTTCCCTTTAATTCACAAATTTGTTAGGGGAATTAAGCTATATCCTAATAGTAAAGTTAGACATTAATGAATAAGGAATGTTTTGTTATCATCAAAAATATATGGACTCAACCGTATGTTCTCTTGATGGTGCCTTTAGAATTTTTTGCTGTTTCTTCTTAGGTAAAGCATTGATACCGGTTTTTTTACCAGTATGTTAGGTTTTTTGGTGCCTTCGAGAATAACTCTCTCTCTCTCTCTCTCTTGCATTCTTAAGCTATATCCTAATAGTAAAGTTAGACATTAATGAATAAGGAATGTTTTGTTATCATCAAAAATATATGGACTCAACCGTATGTTCTCTTGATGGTGCTTTCTAGAATTTTTTGCTGTTTCTTCTTAGGTAAAGCATTGATACCGGTTTCTTTACCAGTATGTTAGGTTTTTTGGTGCCTTCGAGAATAACTCTGTTTCTCTCTCTCTCTTGCATTCTCTCTTTCTTATGTAATGCAGCCTTCTTTATGGAGCAGAAGATCCTTCAATAGCAGGAATGGTGTTGGACAGTGCCTTCTCAAACTTATTTGATCTCATGATGGAACTTGTTGACGTGTATAAAATCCGGCTTCCTAAATTCACAGTATGAATCTGTCTCTTTGTGTATTTGTTAGTGTAACTTTGTGCATTTCAAAGCAAACATGCATTCAGACCAATTGTACTCTGTTAAGCTATCGCATTTTGCTTATTAACCAACACCCACAGAATGAGATGTCTGCTCATTTACCAAGCAAATAAGTGCTTTGGTTCTTCTGGAGCTTGGTGCTTGAAAAAAAATGTAAAGAAATCAGCACCACAATCTTAATGATGCTTCACCCTTGAAAATATTTCATCTTGCTCCTGCTCATGAGAGTGAATTCCTCCAAGTCTTTCATGTCTTGACCATTATATACTGGGGCAAGCACCATTGTTTGAATCTAGGATCTTAATCCAAATGCCATCACAGCTAAATCCAAGCGGCAAAGATATTATATTCATGCATTTGTACGTATTTTTTGTTTTGTTTTCGGTAATAGGAGAGTTGCTGTTACTATCTTTTAATCTTAGTGGCATCTTTTATAGTATTCTTATGGATGTGAATGATTTTCCTAGCATGCAATGTTCATAACTCCAAGGTTGTCAAAACTGTATTGGTTAAAATCTCTGCCTTTTGCCTTTTGGGATAGTACATACTTGCAACAATGTGTCTATGCATAATCCTTAATCAGCATTGTTAACATAAAAAGATTTTCCTTTAAGAATAATATGATTTTCACCTTAAACTCTCATTATTAATTTTCACTTCGTATATTTAGTTAATGTCATCAATTTATTTTTGGCAAAAGAATACCATGCAATTATGCTCAATGGCCTTGCATTTTGTATTCATACTAAATCCCAAATCTTAATCCAACATTGTTCCAAAGACCTTCTATGTACCTGCTCCAACCCAACATGTGATATCTTAAAAGCCTTCGCTCAAAATCTCTCACAAATCAACCATATTTTTTCGCTTTCACCTAGCATGGGACAGCCCTCCATAGATTCTCTCTCTCTCTCTTTCTCTCTCCCTAAAACTCTTGAGACATACACAACGGAGACCTGCTCTCATATTTTCCCCGTTATGGCCACCAATGAAGCATAAAGAAGATTCAGCTGAAATGGCCAAAATTAGTTGGTAACTTGGTATTGTCAGAAAATCACAATACACCTTAGTACCTTATATGAGGTGGCACAACTGCTGCTAATGTAGGTTTTTTTTGTCAAAATCTGGTATATTCCAGCTAGTTTTGAGAATACTAATACATTAATGGTCGCAATTTGTTAATCTAATGGTCATTGATACATGTGAACTGGCGGCATGGGGTTCGTCACCGTTTGCATATTCTTCGTTTAGATGTTTTAAATTATTGCAATGAGAGTTGTATCTCTTGCCTTCCATTTCAATCAGGTTAAGATGGCTGTGCAGTACATGAGGCGTGTAATTCAGAAGAAGGCAAAGTTTGATATCATGGATCTAAACTGTCTAAAGGTTTGTCCATATTTGTGTACTTGTTAATGTTGACACTGATAACAATGATGCACAAGTTAGCAAGTTAATTAATTCTTTCCTGCTTCATGATGTTAATCAGTGATAGACTTATTTTGATCTAGAAGTTATTTCATTTTATGTTGGGTTTCTTTCATTACCTACTGCTTTATCTATTTCAAGTAATACGCTAGACTTGTACTCCCAGGTGGCACCCAAAACATTCATTCCTGCATTATTTGGACATGCCAGTGAGGACAAATTTATTCAACCTCATCACTCTGACCTCATCTTAAAATCATATGCGGTAATTTAGCATTTGAAAATCCTTACATTTTTCTTGAATGAATTGCTGATCTTGGAAGTGTTTAATTATATGCATATTCTGTGCAGGGAGATAAAAATGTTATAAAATTTGATGGTGATCACAACTCCTCCAGGCCACAGTTTTATTATGATTCGGTTTCCATTTTCTTCTACAATGTACTTCATCCTCCTCAGATTTCTTCTACTTGTTCAAGTAAGCTTGAGAAATACTATGACCTTGGTGATTTGAAAGTCGGTGCTGGTATGGATGAGGTGAATTTCTTTTTATGTGGAGCTTTTGAGAAAGTAGTTTAAGAGTTAAAGATCTGTGTCCTTTGCTTATTGTTAGCATCACCTATGTACATTTCGTCGCATGTTATCTAAGCTTGTGAGGAACTCTCCCTCTTGTCAAACTTTTCCATTAGGATGTGGATCAGTAGCTAGGCATCATTGCAAAACCTTTGAGAGTTTTGGAGTTGAGCTGGGCTGTATTATGTTTATATTTTATCTTCCTCTTTTATTGGGTATTTTTAATGGGCTCCAGTGTATAAATACATATCCCCTTCACCCTGTTGTTCACTGAGTTCTTATAGCATAAAAACCAAGAAGGGAACAACTATGTTGGAGCTAGAAATGCATTTGCTGGATAAAGGTGCTGCTAAGATGATGAGCCCCCAGTATTTTGTGATAGTTGCATGTCATGTAAAAGCTTTTGTAGACATTGGTATGTAGGCATATGGCTACCAAAGGATTAATGTGAATTTCTGTATTTCATTTTAGAGTCTGTTGTATGAAATAATCACTGGCCTTCAATCTGCATCAACCAATGCTGCAAGTTCATCTTCTGCTCCACCTAGCATTTTGACAACAAAGCCAGTTAATGAACTGCTTTCGGAAGTTGCACCACTTACTAGATTGGTAGCGTTCTATTTCGCTGTGTTTGGTTATTAGTATATTTTTTTATAAAAAATATGGTGTTTATTACTTATTGAAATGCAGGATTCCATGCTCAGTGGAGATAATAGACCTGACAGTGATGAGCCATCAAATTTACTGGTATCCATGAAATGTTTCTGATCACCTCTATTATATTTCTGTCTGTGTCTGTCTGCACACATCTGTGTATGTATGTTTTATTCTTTTAAAAGGGAGACTGGATTTTTTCTTTTTCCAGTTTCTGCTTAATGCACTCTCAAGTTAGTCCTAAGAATCTGCCATGACCAAACTCAATCTAATGTTAGCATTCTTCTGTGATGAATCTGTGATACTTAAACTGAATGTAATATTAGTTTCATTCTGCAATTATGACTTCACTTCCAATGTAGCTATTGTCTTTTGCTGAAGATGGTTGCTGAACTTGCAAAATGACTTGTGAAACAAAACATGAAATGCTAGTCTTTTCACTCTGCACACTTTGTTTCATTAGAGGCTTTTGCTTTTATTTCTTTTTCAGGATAAGCCTAATGGCCAAAGTGACGAATGTTGCTCATATACAAGCTCAAACAGGGAAAGTTGGGGAAGATGCTCTTCACTGGGGGGCAGTGATGAAGAATCTTCAGCGGACTGTACAACTGCTGACAACAGCCATCAGGTTCCTCATTCTCTCTCTCTCTCTAACCCTCCTGATAGCAAAGAGGAATCTTTACCATGGAGTGAAGGAATCTTACCTCCGTCTGTGTAATGCATATAATTGGTCTGCAAAGCTATCTGGTTTAAACTGTTTTAGTCAATAAAAAGGAATGCACGGAGGAGGTGCAGGGTAAATGAGAGATGTTGGGAATGAGTTGGTAACTTGTGTGTGCCATGATTTAATTCAACTGGAATGTGCTGAATCTCTTATCTGCATGATAGTTGTAGTCGTATCAAATTTCTTGTCTTTATCTTTCTTGCTGAAAGGGACTTTGTGCCTCACTAGGTGACTCTCAATGTGCTTGCAACACCTCTCAAAAGCATGCAGCAAAAGTCGCCTGATCCACCAAAAGAGGAAAGGATGAAGAATAGAGCTCCAACAGTTCCAAAGAAGCCCAAGCGTGAGAAATTTGAAAAGCTAGAAGCCCTGAGCAAGCGACTACGCCTTTGCATCCTGAAACGAGTAAATCACCGGAGGCATCGGTCCTCATGACGGCCCTTCCTTGTAACATAATACTGTTTTTTTGGTTTTTTCAGTTCCAAGTGCTCAATTCACCTCCAACTTGCATTGCCAACAAGGTTGTCTTTGAGTATGTATAAATGCAGCATCCACGTATTTTATAAAACGGAATATTTGTTCAAGCACAGCCTGGCAACGCTCATCATTCAGAAGTCTAGATCTTGGCTAGAGCTTGAAATGTCAAAGATTTGGAAATGATTTTCATCTCGCGTTATAATATTGCTCGCCTAACAATACCATGCATGTCACGTCGCCATAAACATTAAACATGCCTAAAATATATATTTTTAATAAGCTTTATTTTCGTACTCTAATTCTAAAACCAGCACAGCACATACGCCCTACAAAGGGAAATTGTCTCTCAGTATAGAAATAGTGCCAATGGCAAAAGATCCCAATTGACAATAACCAATCCAAGCCATCAAAGTCTTGAGACCTTCAAGCAAAACATAACAGTCAAGGGATCTGACAGACATGGCAGTATATGTAAGCCAAGTCTCCAGCATTGTTCACAATAATTTCTCATTTCTAATTAAAATTCAAGTACACTATATGAAAGCTAGAAAAATCAGTATAAAGGGACAGATCTACTTGAGCCTAATTATCTCGTACATCAGACATTAACAAGTATTTTTTGACCTAATCAGAAATTTCCTCCCAGAGATACACAGCCAAAATGTAATGGAGAACATATACCTTGTCGCACATAAAACTACAGCTCAGTTCCAGAAGCCTTCTCCAATTGATCTTCATTTCCCTTCGACATCCCAGATGAAGGATCAAATTGCTCTCTCGTCATGAAAACAGAGTGTGATTGTTGGAAGGAGGAGCTTATGCTTGACTCTAATATCTGGTGTGGAAGTACCACATCAGGTTTAGCAAATGCCGCAGCCATGCTCACCCGTTGTTTCTTCATCAACCTCTCACCCTTAGGACTCCCTGCTGGGGAACCAACGTGGCAACCTGAATCTGGGGTCAAAGGCTCATGGTGAGAGGAGAAAGACTCATCAATAGAGTGGCTCTTGGCAGGGGCTCGTTCTTTGGCAGCCTTATCTTGTAGAGGAGATTCTGAAGTTGGGGCTGGAGTTGCAGGGTCAGTCTTCTTGTCAGATTCCAGGCCATTGTCACCAAAAGCTGGGACTGAGGCTCCAGAGCCAGGTGCTTCTGCAAGGACTCCGCTGAGACGCTGCTGCTCCTCAATAATTTTCTTTAAATACTTCCCTTGAGCCTCTATTCGCAACTGTAGCTGTCTCTGCACCTGTTGTACATCACAGGCACAGGAATTGCAGGCTTAATAAGAGCTAAGAATCTGTGTTTGGGGAAAACTCAACAAGTAAACCTAGCACCTGAAAAGTTAAATCTTGTCTAGCATGTTCAATGCAAAGAAATTTAGCAAATTGTTCCAGTTTCACTAAGAAAACAGAAGAAAATACTGAGTCCCAATGTTGTGTCACTCCTCAATACCATGCTACTATGAACTACCTTAGATATACAATTTACTAGTCTCTTTTTATACACCATCACCTTGGAAGGAAAGCCAAATAATAACATAATAACCAAATCAGTAAAAAATCTGCAGTGAGAAAACATGCCTCCAATTGTTCATGCAAGCGCTTTTGCACCTCCATCTGCAACTTTAGAGCTTCGGTAATTTGCATCCCACTGCAAGCAGGAAAAAAATAATTCCCTTAATTCCATGCAATTCAAGTTGATCAGTCAATTTAAGATGCCAAGCAACTTAAAAAAAAAAAAAGATGCCAAGTACTCATTTAAAGAAATAAAATTCCTTTCTTGAATGTGTACACAAGAACCTAGTTTCGGTGATGGATGGGGATTTTGGAATGAGATTTTAAGCTTGGGTTATGGAAAGATGATTTTGAAGAGGTTTTCATGGGAGAGTACCAATGAGCTCATAGGCAGGGAAAAGAAAACAAAATAGAGAAGAAAGAGAAAGAAGTGGTGTAGAATGACAAAGGTACTGGGTTGGTGCTGATGATGGAGCAGGAGCCCTACATCTCTAACCCCAGATACATGTCTTTTTCTTTTTTCAACTTCCATTTCCCTTCAAAATTTAATTGATTCTTAACTTTTATCTATTATTTCTAAAACTTCAAATTTTATTTATTTGATAACTAATTGCCATGTCATCTACTTCTATGCACATGTATGCCATGTCATCCAATTTGTCCACATGAATGCCAACATAGTAAGTTAACAAAGCCATTAGCCATGTCAGCATTTTTTTTCCAATCAAATTTGGCTCATTTGACTCTAAATCATAAGTTGAGAGCTCAATTGACATCAATAAAAAAGAGAAGGGGCTTAAGTGAGAATTTTGATCTAGTTCGAGGACTTATTTAATCCTTATGCCTTTTATTAGTTATTAATAAAAATCAATTCAAGTTGCTAGAAATAATATATTACAACTAAAATTTACTTACAATGTTCATCATTAATAGTCGCGGTAGGGATAACAGGCAACCTAAAATCACTACACAAACCCGAGATCATTTTTGCATTAACTGTTTATAGAGTACCCAAACCCTATTTAATCAGGTCAGACTGTGTCCCATGCCTGGATGACAGTATCCTTTTGTCATCCCTAACTGATTATTAGTAACTTTCATATGATTGACAGCTTCCAGCACTTTTATCCTTTTTCCAGCATGCCTTATGAATTTCTTATGCATGTAAATAGAAACTCTTCCATCTTACACTTCAAAGACATGTTGAAACCAACAAGAACTATTCCAACAATTGGTAACTATATATGAAAAAGGATATTTTCAAAAAGGTAAAACAAAAAAACAAACTGAAAAAGCTACAGCTTCACTTACGAGGAACCATCCAAATTGGAAAGCATATCCCCAGTTTCTTTCTTGTCAGCTTTTTTACCTTCATTAACAAATAGAAGAAACAAGTTATACTAAGAAGAAAATTATTGTACAAAAAAACTCAAGTTATAATGAACTTGAAAATTTCTATGCAATGTGAAGAATGAACTTCATGGGTCAAGAACAATTTAACAAAACCATTTTATGTCTACACTTAAAAAAAGAAGGGAACAAATGAAACCTACCATCAGATGAAGAATCAGGGAGATATTTTGCAAGGCGATATTTCTGGATACATCACAAAAGTAGAGTCAACAAAAGCCATAGATGATAATGAGGAATGTTACACTAACCACTCAACACAAGCCTTACTCCCCCTGGGGCAACTCCTGAACCAATGTACATAGATAAGTACAGTTCTGCATTAGGTTGAAAAAGAATAATATACCTGTAAATGGCTTTTGACATGGTATATTGTCAAACCTTGTACACCCATGACCCTGAGAACTCCTTTTGGTGTAGCTCCTGAGAGGGGGAAAAAGGAAACTTGTTTACCATCATACATGTTTCCATATATAAACACGAAAATCTTAAGGTATGTATAGTTTCCCCATGACCATGTCCATTCACTAAATGTGAGCCACCACACTGCCACATGCTTTCCCATGCAATTTACCAAGAAAATCTTACATAGATAACTCTTCACCGACAGGAGATTAGATGAAAGAGAGATTCTTCAAGTTAAACAAATCTATTTAATGTTAACTTTCCAGGAACTTTAAAACAGCAAAAGATTGGCTGGTAATAAAATTTTGCATAACCATGTAAACAATAAAGATACTACAGCACCCAATGCTTTCACATAATTTCCCCAGGGAAGTTTATATAAATAATCTGGACAGAAAGGACACTAGATGAAAGAGAGAAGGTTCAAGTTATAAAATCCCTCTAACACCTGAAGTTCCCAGGAATTTAGAGGAAACATATTTCCTTATGTCTATATTATCTTACTTCATTAATCTTATACAGAAAGCATGAATTCCTTTAGAGAAATGCAGCATGAATTCCAACCTTTCAACGAACCTTTTTTTCTTTTACTGCTGGCCAACCTAGTCAATTATATGCACAAACAAATTCAGGCTAAGAATTAAATATTAGATAGGTAGATATTCGACAAGACTCACGATCTGGCCCACCAAGTTGAGCTACAGCATCAACAAAACGTTCATGAAGCTCATGTGTCCAGCGCAATCGTTGCTTTGATGCAAGATTAGGGTTGTTGGTGAGGCTGTTCCCTCCACTTATGGGGTCCATTTGGCTAGCACCACAATCTAAATGCTGACCATGAACTATTGAGTTGTTGCGGACTAAACTTGAACCAGGAACAGTCTTTGGTTGATACATTTGTTGTTCATCTACAAACAATGGGGAGTAAAGAGACTCATTAAGAGCATAACAAATGCAAAGCATTGATAGATTCCACATTGATCTACAATCATAGTTAAGAGAAAAAATCAAACACATCAAAGATGCAACTTTCACCATCCTAACAGAAACGGAAGAAAAAGGATGAGGAAAGCAAGATTGCAAGAATTATTAGCCCCATTAGCCTACCAACATCATACATGCTTCCTCTTCTTCTTCTCTTATTATTATTTTGGGATTTTGCTAAAGACTGCCCTAAAGACACTTCTTAAGGTTGCCGTTTAAAGAAATATCTTCATTAAATGCATTGAAAATCATCAAATTATCTGTCAACCACTGCAGTTAATATGAAAATAATAACAGCTGCCAGCAAAACCCTTATTGTCATTCCACTTCTTACGATAATGACTGAAACCAAAGAATTCACAATCACTAAGACATTGCTACAAAGAAATGTAAAAGTAAAGGCAGAACTAGAGCAAGCTGTGAAAAGTCATAACTTTCTAATTGATCAAAATATATCCCCTAAAAAATACATAGCAGACTAAGGGAACCTTAAATTTCCCCACAATCAGAATCAATCCAAGATTGCCATTGCCAAAACACTGAGTTTTCCTTATCATACATACTGATATTGCATATAATTTTCCATTTTTGCTTTTCTTGATGCAACAGAGAGCACTGCATCTCAACCCTAAAATTTCTACCAAACTTTCTCTGACCATCAAGCTAAACCTAATCTTAAACAAGCCACTATCAGAAATATATGTAATATAACCCATAAAACCCTTTAAAATTTTCAAAGCTAGCTCTTGAAGAAATCCAGGTAGTGTCGATGTCTAGAAATGAAAATCTAAATTTCCCATTGGCAGCAAAGGTTAGGCACAAACATCTTTCAGTCTTTCACTTATATACCAGAGTTCCAATTTACAATAATGATACACATATTGGAAGGCTTAACGTGCACAATTTTTGTCCAGGGCAAATCAGTATTTATAACAGCAATTAAACAAAGATATGGTAAAAGATAATTGAATATTTGAAAATTTCAGTATAAATCAAACAAAGCAGTAAAGAAAGAAAAACCTCTTGTGTTTTTTTGTTGGTTGGGGGGGGGGGGGGGGGGGGGGGATGGCATTCTTTAATTTTGAAAATAGGAACTTTAGCTTTGAGCTGCATGTAGAAGCAAGGAATTTTGAAAAACCAAATCCTTGCAAAACTTCATCTCGCAATATGTAGAATAGGATTTAAAAGACGTTAAAATTTCTCCCACTATCATAGTATTTACCCTCTGAGTGAATGAGTATTAGAAAAAGGAAAGAATGATCAGATAAAAGTGGGAAGAAGGATAAACTGGAAGTGCATAGCTTTTAAAATAGAAAGGGGATGTAGCGGTGATTGATATTGAACGCATAACAACACATACTGAAAATGAGAAATGAGACTATGAATACAAGTGAAGAAAGAGAGGATGCGGATTTGCGGTTGATCAAAGGCATTTGGAGTTGGGAGCAGGTTGTCCAAATATGTATGATGCAATCGTCTATCATTTATTAACAAGAAATTACAGGCTAAATAAACACAATTCCTAATTCTATTCTATCACACCCCATCTCGAAACCAATTGGGAGTGTACCAAATGGAAAGCCCAAATACGGGGAAGAATTATTGTTCTATATTTGTAGTACAAATTGGTTTTCTTGTTCTTCGATAAAAGAAAAAAGGATAGAAAAAAATAGTGCAGCGATTATGATATCGGAAATAGAAATTAGAAATATTAGTTAGGATTAAGTGTGTGTGGAAAGAAACAGGAATCGAAAACATTGGCCGATCCATTTTTAAAAAAATATATAAAGAAAAGAAAATCGATTATCAAATAGAAGGCAAAGGCAGAAGAAGCTGAGAAGAGGAAGTAAAACCAAAATTTAAAAAAGGAAAAAGGAAATGAAATTTGGAGAAGTAACAGCAGCTAAAGTGGAAAGAGGAGAGGGCCGAGCAGAGCGTACCAGAAGCAGAAGCAGATCTAGGAGCAACCCATCCCTTCAAATTTCGCCCCTCACTCTGCAACGTAACTATAATTTAAATTTTACTCGTACTTTTGACAAGGATGAGAAAAGTAATCTACCAATGTTTGGAGGCCAAAATCAAAGGGAAAGAAAAAGTCCAAAGAGGCAGAGCAGACGCAGAGACACACCCACCACCCCCACAGGCCAGGCCACAGCCACGATTTTTGCTTTCTTTTTATTTTTCTTTATATATATATATATATATATGCTGAAGTTCTACCGTATATACGTATGTACAGGTAGTATGTATGTAAGTAACACGATAACCGTAATAATTTTAGTACCTCTGTACATCACTTCTTCTTTACGTCTTTCTACATTTTATTTATACCATTATATTTATTTGTGCAATTTAGGGATTTATTATTATTAGTATTCTTTCAAGTTTCAGGCAAAAGAATTAAAGTCATTCATTTATTTTATTTATTGACTTCCTCATTGCTGTATGCATACACATGAACAGAGGTAACGTGAAAACCCAGGGTCAGCCAAATGGGCAGCCCGCGGCCGTAGTTAGTAATTAAGGGATGCTCGTCTTTATTTGATTGTCCGCTTAGTATGTCTAATGAAAATCATAATCTCTTACTTACGTTTAATACCAGATTATACATATGTCGATAACATACAAAGTAAGTATTATATATAATGAAATAGAAGATTGACATGTAGCGACCGGCCTTGGACGGAATCTACCCAATTATATTCCGTTGGACGGAATCTACCCAATTATATTCCGTCCGGCAATTTCTGTCCCTTCCGTCTTTGATTGTTACGTGATTGAAAGAGGATGCCAATTTTTTATATGGCTTTTGGATTTTCTCCGCCCCGCCTTGTACATTTGATAATTTGATCATTATCATTCACCAGAATAACTTTGTTAAACAAAAGCCAAAATCCATTTGCTACCCTACCATCTCTGTCATCCCCAACATCCTTTATTCTGCTTCCCTCTATCCTTTGGCAATCTCGTTCAATCAAAATTTTCTCTTTATCCTACACAAATTGCCTGTTAACAACACAGCAAGTTCAGATTTACAGCCTAAAATCCCAACAGCATTCTAAGTTTGGACTTCAGAGATCACATGGATTTCCAATCACAGCAGCACAAGTTCATATGTTTGAGACACTAAATGTATTGATATTTAGAGCATAAGCAACTTGGATTTACAATTTTGAGACTACTTGTTCCATTCATCTCAAAGCTTGGATTTCCTGCCAACTCCATGCACATGAATAGATCAGCATTTTTACACTTGAGACTGTAATAGCTAGAGCATACAGATGAGTATCACTCATTTCCATCTCTACATGCCATATCCAGTTAGCCCATGGGGATTAAACTTGGCATCACCCCAGATCAGAGATCCTGTTGTTGAGTCCAAGTTCAGCATCTTTTTCTTCCCTTCAACAGCAGATCCTTCCATTGTCAATCCTCCTGGACTCTCATGTGAAGTTAGGCAGCTTTCAGTAGAACAATCAGCCCTCTGGGAATGCAGACCGGATGGCATTTCTTCATCTTGGCCGCATGCATTGACCACCTCAGCAGACTGAGAGGAGTAAAATCCAAGTGGGTCAACACAATAATTTCTCGGCACCTTACTACTAAATCCTAGGTTATCTGTTTCAGTATCTGCACCACCTCCAATAAAATGATCAGCAAGCATCTTACAAGCCCTCTCAAGCATGGCCATATATCTTCGTTCTGCATCCTGGCGAATCTGCAAGTGCTTTTCGGCCTAAAAAGGAGAATATAATAAGATTAGCTAGCTTGAGAACGGAATTTACACTCTGATCTGGAGGGTTCTTTCCAAAATGTTAAGTAGGGCTTTTCCCACTATCAACTCATTGCTTGGTTCAAAGCATAATGAGCCTCACAACAAGTTTCTCCAAGACATCAGTCACAAGCTCAAAGATGAATGTAGAATTGCATTAAAACCCAGAAACACCCTAGAGGTACTACCCACTTTATATCACTTCATAGCCACATCCACAAAAGAGAAATGTACTACAGAAGGGGAAAAATTACCTCTACTTGCAAATGTAATTTACTCTGCACTTCCATCTGTGCCCTTAATGCCTCCTTCACCTCATAACCCCTGCATATAAAATTCATTTCCCCTCAGAACTAAGCTTAAGATTTGAACCCAGCAGTGAACCTGAAGGAAGACCCATAATTTTCAGACAAAATATGAAATTTCTCACTCATTCATGTCAGAACTTGGCAAACTTGGGGTAGAATTATTTGTTCCAGGGCTTTCTAAAAGGTATGAAGCAGATATCCCTTCATGAAAATCGGAAAAGAAACTTCAGTCTGCAATCCTAAATACTTATCACATGATTACCTTATAAATTATTATCCAAATACACATACACCTGGTTTAAATCAGTCACCAAAGAATAATTTTAGTTCACTTGTAAATCAAAGAAAGAGTGGCAGAAATTAAATTATTTTGGTGAAAGAAACTTCAAACGTAGATTCAATTTAGCCAAATTCATTTATAGTAGCATATACGTGTTTCAGATCATATACTAAAGAAAAAGAGTTGGAACAGAACCTACCATCTTTTGGTCCCTCACCCATATCCTTCCCTGATTGCTTACCTAGCCTGTATTTCTGTAACACAGTGAAAATACCACAGGACAAGGTGTCAATGAGAGAATAAGTTTCAAAACAGATCTCCAAGTTTATAAATTTTTTGACAAGGTAAAGGTTGACAAGAATGAAGAAAACCTGGAGGTGACTCTTTAAATGGAAAAGAGTTAGTCCTTTCACATTCATTGTCCGCATGATGGCCTTTGGTGTAGCTTCTGCAGTTGTCACCCATAATCAAAAGAAATCTAATTGCGAGATGGTGAAAATGCTCAAGTAAATTTGAATCTATTGTCAGCCGTAAAAAAATAAATAAATAAATAAAAGATTAACCTAGAAACATAGGCCACAGCAGATGCCCAACATCTTACCGCATAATGCATGCATGAAAATAAGATAACAAGAACAAACATAAGCCTAACAAGCATAAACACTGACAAACACTTGGCAAGAGAAAAGCTACAGTCTTTATTCAGAAAACGATAGGGAATTGGGATTTGAATAGCTGAAACACTAAAGAAAATTATAGATGCAGAAGGTAAGCCTGTTTATGACACACCTAAAACCCCACGCAAGTACAACATAAAGAAGGACAAATACCAGTTATCATCTGCTGAGTATGGAAGAAAGCAGTTTATTATCTAAATTGAAGTAGTACATAGCAGACTACATTGGGCTTTTCTACTGAAGCACATTACATACAATAGTGGTGGCTGTTGTTAGAAGCGAAATCATGTTGATGCATTGGTACTATATGACAAAACAAGAAACGAAGTATAGGGTAGAGCATGTAGCAAAGTTAAATTCAGAGTCTAGTTGGTATCCCAGAAAGGTGATAAGGAAATACTTTGGAAAAGGTCAGCAGGTAACAGGATGGTAAACACAATTGAAGTGGGTAGGTTCGGAGAGAGAAAAATGAAGCAAAAAAATAAAAAAGGTGCAAAATATAAAATTGGAAGCAGAACGAAATATACTTAAGCAAAGTGAGAACAAATAAAAAAAAATAAAAAAAAGGGGAAAACCTAAAAACCCAGACGGAAATATTATAACTATTTTTATTAAAAAAAAAAAAGAGGGATGGAAAATCCTACTATTGGGGCCGCCAAGTTGAGTGACGGCATCGACGAATCGATCGTGGAGGTCCGCAGTCCAACGGAGGCGAGGCTTGGGATCAGAAGTCAAGACGAGGCAAGGCTCTGCTAGAGCTCCTTTGTGATTGAGATTTTGAAGCATCTCTTCCTGATGATGAAGATGAGCTTGGAGCCTTGGATGATACATATCCATTCTCTTCCTTGTTCTTTTTACTCTAATAAGTATGACATCCCTAATCCCTATTCCCCCACCAAATCCACCCAAGAAGAAACTAGTTTGCCTCCTGCTGTGCCGACTGCCGAGTGTAGGTCAAACAAAGGAGATGGTTAAAAACAAGCCCACCCCACGCCAACCCGGCCCGCCCCGCTGGCTGCTCCTCCCCGCCCTTTTTTACTTGTATACTTTCGGCATTCATTAAATGTTGAAAAATAGAAATTTTCAGGGATGAATTTATGAATTTATTCCAAATTCTTACAATTCAAACGCTTAATAGTTAATTTACAATTACAACACTAAATTCGACATCTTTGCCTTATGATTGTAGGGGTAATGTAATGGTCCACTTTGTTAATGTTTGAGTTACAATTATGGGATTTCAAATCCCTCTTCAATTCCTAATACATGACACAAACCTTCCTTCATCTAGTTTCAAACTCGCCTCAAATGTTTTCCAAATATACTACTTGCTCCTTTCAGTTATTCAAATACTTATCTTACTCCTCTTTTTTTTCTCATTAATTACTTCCAACTAAAAACCCAAACCAGGTTACACATTTGAACAAGGAAAAAGAGATGCCTTCAACGCATTACATCATAAATTGCAATACCATAATTAGATCAGACACCATCCATTCATCAAAAGCCATTAACATTGTCCCCTTCAAATAACCAATAGCCAAACAAGTCATATAAAAAAAATTCCATAACCAAAGGAGGAAGCTTGATCAAAATTATAAAGCAGATGTTAGTGTTATGAAAGAAGCTTGATTTTGATAGGAAGAATCTGAATCAACTCTACTCATGCAAATGATAAGTGAATAGATGATTGTTGAACTACTCATATGATCGAAACAGTTCCACTCTTGGTTTATGCCTAACCAATGATCAATTGACTCAATACACAACGAACATGTGGTATTGCAAATTGCAATTCATATATGGCTGACAGCTTCAAGAATGGTATCGTGAATCAGAGTCTATCTATAGGAGCAAAAAATTTAGATTATATATATCTTTTAATCTTAGATTTGGGTATATAAACATCTTTTGCACTGAGCATTAGCTGTTTGATTGAACGGTCTGGAGATCAGAGGTCCTACATGACTAAAATCCCCGAGGAAATGAATGAAATATCCATATCTACGGTAGGATTTAGGTTGGTTGATTCAGATTCAGAACCTGTAGCCATGCAAATGCTTAGCCCATCTTCTAGCCATGTAAGGATCATGGTAATCCCAACCCTCAACACTGCTGGTCCTTCCACCAACAATGCTGATAGCAGTGTCTCCGTCGCCATCATCTGTTTCCCTTTTATCCTCTATACTCACCACAGTTTCCCCTGTTTTGATGCATTCATCATTTCCTCCCTCAACATAGCTATACCCCACAGACACAGGTACACACTCGCCCAAGTCCAACAAAACCCTTCTCTCTTCACCCCCTCTTAGATCCCCAAGCCTAATGATCTTGGCGTCCTCCCCAATTCTCAATTGAATGTCTCTAATCACACCTCCCAACAACTGTCTTAGAAACTCTTCAAATTCATGCATGACAAAGCCATTAGAGCTGCCAAAGCCAAATCCCACATGAAACCGATGTATTGGAATAGGCAATTGCAAGTTCATGGCATGGTATGATCTTGTTGGGCTATCAGACAAATGCAAGATGCAGGACTGCAGATTCTTATGTGCACGATCTTCAAGTATCTTTATCCCTTTCTTAAGCCCTTCAATTGGATCAGCTTGTCCCATGTAGAAAAGACGATCAATGACTTGTAACGCTGATCGCTTCCCATAGGATGTCATGCGCCTGAGAGGGAAGACGCGTGCTGCAGCAGATGAGTATGTCACAATGGCCAAACGATCAATTGGTCGGAGGGAGAATACCACTAATGCCATGGATTGTTTTAGAAGCCTCAAGTGTGGCCCATTGGGGCTTGCAACCAGTACCATGTCTGTAGCTTGTGAATGTGTCAATTTTATGCAGAGATAGGCAGGTCTCCTATTTGAGGAGGAGCACATGTAGGAAGGTGTTTGTCTAGGTTGCAACAGTAACGATGATGATGAGGAGCTGCTGAAGTGATGATGATGGTGATGATGGTTTGAGTTGTGCCCAATGCCCGGCATTTGCAAAGAAGATGAATGTGAGCAGGACTGATGCCGAAAGCAGCAGGGGTGAGTCAAAACTGCTGGTTGGAGGGGAATCAGAGCTAAATCAAGACGGGGATGATTTTGTGTGTGGTCAGGCTCAATAGGGTCATCATCATCATAGCGTGCTGAGCGAAGGAAGGAACGTCTATGAACCCGGAAAGTGGCAATGGAATCATCCAGGATACGGAAAACAGGGTCACTTTGGTTGCAAGAGAGGGAACATGCAGGTGGGTTTAAGTTGCGCGGTAACTGCGTCCAGTGGGCACGGCAAATAGGGCAGGTGATGCTACCATGACGAACATTGGAGGATATGCAGGAAAAGTGGAATGCATGAGAACACTGGGCTGTGAAAATAGCTTGCCCTGGGCTGCTGCCAGAGCTGTAACTTAGAACCTCCAGACATATAGCACATAAGTTCTGTTGCAATGCATGAATAGTAGTATAAGAAAATCTGATGAATGATTAAGTAATAAACTGATTGATATTGTTATCATTCTCAACGATCCATTGCACAGATCTAAAATGGACAATATAACTTTCTTTGGTTACTGAAGTCAAAATTACTATATAAAATCACTAGAAAGGTATAAGTAAATCTCATAGTTCAAACATCTGTAACTATTGATGATTAACATGTCAATATTCAAATGTTCAAGCTCCAATTGTATTTTTCAAATTGCAATGGTCCAATAGTATACAATGATTCAAACTAATATGGAATGAAAATGCAAATATGAAAAATTGCTATGTTAATTATATTCCACTCCTAATCATCACTATAATGATTGTTTTAGGATAAAGAAGTTATTGTAGATTATGAAATAAGAGAAGATTTAATAAAAATGAAAAGAAAATGAAATCAGGTGGATGGGTGCTACTTTTATAATTTGTTTTTTGTCCAATCATGATGTCACATTTGTTGGAAGATGCAGACATCTGGGTTTTAATACAAAATTTCTGCTGAATTATTTAGAATAGATTATAGTATTTGTAAGTGAATCCTTCTAAATTGGGCAACATGCATACGTCCAAACTAGGAATTTGTTTAGTTTTCAATTTTATTATAACCAAATAAAAAAAAAATACAGTACCACATATGGCAATATGAGAGTAATTCAAAGGGAGCAGAATAGTTGAAGTTGGAAGTGTGGTGGTAGGAAATGACGCGAGGATAATGGGTTTTTGCAGGTAGTGGGGACAGCTGATTGTGGATCTTTGTGTAAGGTTGAATTCACATGCTTTGTTTCGTCAATCAAGCAAACTTTTTTTCAATACCCAGCTGTTATTGGAGCTTGAAATCTAGAGTTACAACACAACAATAAAAAAAGTTGCCTTGTGAATCCAGAGAATCGAGAAAGTTGTGAGAAGCGAAGGCAAGTTGGTAACTTTGCACAGCTCAAATAACTTACTATAAACAAGAGATCTCTTATATACACCGCGGTCAATGGTGAGATGAGAGAGCATTGGATTCCAGGAGTGTATACTAGTCTACTTTTTTTCTAGTTTCGAAAAATAACATTACAATGCCTACCCTTTCATTCTCTTAACTCTCCTAATAGTATATGTAATTTCCCTGGACAAGAATGAAAAGGTTTAAAGAAAAAAGAAAGGGAAATGTTGAATGGAGGTACCTTAGAAGTAAGGTCGTTATGGCTGGTGAAGGATTCTGCTTCAATTCCGGCTTCAGCTTCCGACTTCCACTTTGGCTTTGTGGGTGACACTGACATCTGCAGATTTTTCCATTAACACGACAAAATATTAGAGCTGTCGCCACTAAGAGATGGGAAATTTTTTTCTTTTTATAAACTCAAAAGAGAAGAGCTGTGATTCAGAAACGATAGAAATTATAGTTGAAACCCAAAAAAAACGATGATAAGTCAAGTTAGAAATTTGCAGTAGAAAATGTAAAGAGTAAGACTGCCATATTCGATAGAAAAGGGATCTTTAATTAATCCACCTTGTATCTGATATGGAAGATAAAGTGGAGAAGGGGAGCTTAGCTTACACGAGGAGGGCTATTCCTGGAGAAGGAGCCGCATGCAGCGACCATCATCTTCCTGGCTGCATTTTTGAGCTTGGAAGATGTTCCTGATCCTACCCCCATCGCCGTCGGATAGTGAAAAAATGGGATAGAAGGGGAAAGAGTAAAGACAAGTCTGGCAAATCTGCGAAGATGTCCACCACTCCGAGTCCCTTTGCTGCTGTTGTTGTTGAGCCTCCACTTTTGTATTTTCGTTTTTTAATTTCGCACTTAGACAGACAGGCTTAGTATCTCTATTCTTCTCTCTCCCCTGCCCTCCAATGCGCTGCATGTAGAGAGTAGACCCATATATACTTGTACACGCCACACCTTCCTTGCTTTTACTTTGCAAGGACTCTTTTGACGGAAGACTACCAACTTTTTTACGCGATTCAAAAATTACCTGTAATTTATTTTATTGGCATATATATATATATATATATATATATATATATATATATATACACAAACATATCTGACAAGTTATTTCGTACTAGTACTAATAGTATTTATTCTCACACACTTTAATTGCTTAAAAATAATTATGTAAAAATTGTTCATAAAATAAAAGATAATTTAATATTTTAATTACCAACATCAGGATCCCCATTGTTTAAATAACTAATATAGTTTTTGTTAGCATATTTTTAAAATTATATCTTTTACATATAAAAAATTATGATTATGTAAAAGTCATATTAATTGAAAAATTAAGTGATTATTGTATTATAAGTAAATTTTTACATAAATAAAAAACATAAATAAAAATAAAATAATCCAAAGAAACAAGGTAAAAAAAGAAAACAAGTGGGGAGCAAAGCTAATAAATGCAATAAATAGATTGTTGAATAAGTGCAATGCAGGGACCACTTTTAGGCTTGTCTTGTTAATTTGGCGTTAAGACAGTGCATATCATATCCTTTGAAAAAGTAGCAAGGACTAGAGGCCAAAGCCTGGCCCTCTCTTTGCGACTAGTATATTGGGACCATAGTCCAAAAATAGGTAAAGTAAAGTAAAAGACCGTTAGGCGTTCGATTTGAATTTGAAGTCGAGGCAGGCACAGGTAATTTACCAAATTAAAATCCAATATCTCATGATGGCTGGCTTCTCTTGTCTTTGGCCTTTAGGCTTCCCTGTTGTGGGTGGCGCCACATATATACATATATGCTTTTCTTCTCCTCGTTGCCTTGCAGACTTTAAAACACATGGGCCCTTCCAACTATACAAAATACTGATGGGGACCCCAAAACATTTATCTTTAAACATGTGTATATATATATATATATATAAATACCTCTAAGTCTAACGCAATTAGTATATAAAGTCCTCTGCTAATTGACGCACAAAATACATACAGTATTTGATGATTATCATGTTAAGTTTTAATTTTGAGTATCCGAATAATCAAAATTCAAGACACCAATTTCCTAGAAGCCAGAAAGGGACTTATGCATTAAAGGATATTATTGAGTTTTGACCAGGCATCTTTTCAAGCCTTGAGACATATGCCAAGGCTTTTAACCATCCTCCTCCTCTCCTTCTACCTCAAAAGAAGTAAAAAGGAAGGGTTGCTGCTGTCTGCTGTCTGCAACATCAACATCTGATCTCAGTTGCTACCTAAATGTCTTTGAACAAACCAAAACAAAAGGGCCGTCTGTTTGCTTACTTGAGGTCGGGCAATTGACCATTTCAAGTCCTCTCCCATTTTTTTTTTTTCCATAAATCAAAAGTTTCTCTTTTGCACGCTTCATCACAACATTCCTACGGTCACTAATTTTCACGTCACAATTGGTTTCACCATTTCAAACTTGGTAGCTTTTAATGTTCCATAACTATTGGGAATCACTCGTTTGCTATGTACTGACCAATTACTTCTTGCCTTCAAACCACACACACCACAGCAGTTATATAACTCCAACCAGTCTTGGATTTTGATACTCATTATAACTAATTGCCGCACCAACCAAATCCCAGATGAATTCAGTAACTCTATTTTTATTCAGTTTCTCACAAACTACGATAAAGGTATATTTGGGTCCCCTTGAATGCAATCCACCCCGCTCGTACGAGGTGGTAGCATAACTCGTAGCATTTCATACATCTCTTCAACCTGAGGATGACATCTGTCCCCTACGAAGAATACATGATTCTTTCCTTTCACTTCTACATAACTAAAACCAGCAACTTTCTTCACTTTCCTCTCCTTCATCATCTTCCTTACTCGGGCAAACTCATTCCACTTCTCTTGCGCTGCATATACATTAGCCAAGAGAACGTAGCCACCAGAGTCACCAGGCTCTAGCTCAATTAGCTGTTTACCAACGTGATTTGCTAGTTTATCATCCCCATGCAATCTGCATGCAGCAAGCAATGCTCCTAGAACAGCACCATCGCACTCACTTGGAGGCATTTTGTTCACAACACTCATGGCCTTCTCCACTTGTCCCGCTCGACCAAGGATGTCCACAAGGCAAGAATAGTGCTCAGCCCTGGGTTGTAAACCATACATGTGACTCATTGCATCAAATAGCCTTTGACCTTTTCTACAAAACCAGAATGGCTACAAGCTGACAAGACTCCTACAAAAGTGATCTCATCCGGCTTGACACCTGATGTTAGCATGGCTGCAAAAACATGTAATGCATGCTTACCATATCCATGGTGTGAATATGCTAATATCATGGCAGTCCATGACACAAGATCCTTAGCCTTAAGACCTTGAAAAGCAAGCCTAGCTGAATTGAGATCCCCAATTCTTGAATATGCTGAAAGAAGAGTGTTAGTGAGTGAAATGCCATGCTCAAAGTCAAACCCCAAAGGAAAAACAAGAGCATGAGCTTGCCCGACCTCTAAAATGCTATTGCAGGAGGTCAACACGCTAGTGATTGTAGTCTCATTAGGTCTGAAGCCAGAACGAAGCATGAGGATCAGGAGGCTGAAAGCTTCACCTTGAGCTCCATTTCTTGAATATCCATCAATCATGACATTCCAGGCAACAATGTTCTTATCAGGCATCGAGTAGAAAAGCTCACTAGCCTTAGGCTATGTCCCCTTGATCAACGTATGCGGTTATCATGGCATTCCATGCGGCTATGTCTTTGCTTACTGGCATCTGATCAAAGTATTCCCTAGCCTGTTTTGTCATCCCGTTTCTTGCCAAGCCCGAAACCATACTTGTCCAAGAAATCAGGTTTTTTTGAGGCAAAGAATCAAACAATTGAATAGCCTCGCAGACTCTGCTAACCTTTAGACAGGCAGAAATCATGATATTCCAGGCATACAGATTCCTTTGAGGCATCTGGTAGAAAAGCCTAATTCCATCATCAATCCGGCCATTGTCAACATAAGACTTGAGCATAATTGTCCAGGCAACAATGTTTTTGTCAGGCATTCGGTCAAAAACATGGCGCGCTTCATCAATCAAACCGTTATGTGCATAACCCAAAACTACCGTTGTCCAAGACACCACATTTTTCACAGACATAGGCATTTGCTCAAAAAGGAGACGACCCTCTTCAACTTGCCCTACTGCAAAATACCCGGAAATCAAACTAGTCCAGGAGAAGACATTTCTGTCAACCGTATCATCAAAAAGTTTACGAGCTTCAGGTAGACGACCGGCTTTCACGTAGCCGTGGATCATTGCGGATTCAGCAACAATGTTTCTATGGGTACGGGCATGGAGGTAAACAGCGCCTCGGCTTTGGGAGGATGATTGTTTTTCAAATAAACAGTGATCATGGAAGCATAAGAGGCGGCGTCCCTATGACTTGGAAGCATTTCATCGAAAAGTTGCTTTGCTTCTTTGACTTTGCCACGGCGACCAAAGTCGTTAATCCGCATATTAGACTCGCGTGTATATGAAGCAGGTTTTGTTACAAAGATTTCAGTATGATGTTTGATTGGGTGAGCAGAGAATAAGAAATTGAAATGAGCAAAACGTCTGATTAAGGCGGGGAGATTGGAAAGATGGCCGCTCATAATGGCGTAGATGACCAACCCGTTAACTAGCAGTGCTGTAGTAGCAGTATTTTACGAATGAATTAGATAAAAGATTGCGAGCATTACCAGAGAAACCGGAGCGGATTGGTTTGGTTTGGTTTGGTTTCAAAGGCTCAGCCTTGGCATCCTAATCTTATTACTAATATATACATGCTCGCTAAGGTCCTTACCTGAACATTAATACCTTTGGATTTCGATCAAAACAAATCGGATTTCCATGCACCAAGTCCAAGATCATGGTAAACATTAACGTTGTAAAGGAATCTCAATTTGCAATTTGCATGGAAAGGAAAGATTCCCGTGTAACCATGCACTCGATATTTATAAGGTGTTCAAAGCAAGATTGAATCCCCTTGGCAAATGTTATGCCAGCTTGTATTTGATTTTGAATGTTAAAAACACCAAACACTGCATACACTACTTCTTTCCGCTTTAATTAAAACAGCAAAAGATTGATCAAAATGCTAAACCCTAAATCAGTAAGAAGAGTTAAGTTAGTAAAAATCTTCCACAGTAAAATATCTAGTGGAGACAATACAAATTTCGCAAAGTTTGATCAAGTCACCATTGCTGGTGGCCAGCTCTGAAAAGTAGGTGCCTCTGCCTTGGATCTGATTCTGGCAATCTTTAGTAGCATCAGCCGCACTATTCATCCCTTCTACCATGGTGTCCAGGGTGTCGGAGTTGAAGTCATTGTTAGCCGATGAAAGCTCAGATACGGCCTTGTTGCTGCAGCTTTGACATATTTGGAGGCGATTGCGGTCCACGGGAGTGGTGGCATTCTTAAGAAGGCCGGCTATGAGGGACTGGGCGTGGCTGGCCTTGGTTTGAGCAAAGCGTAAAGCGGCATTGGCAAGGTCACCGGCCAGGGCCAGGGGGCCACCTGTATTTAAAGTCTCAACACAGAATGCGTAGTCAGAGGTGTGGTTGCACACCTCCTTCACAAGCTCTGTGCCATTTAAGGGAGGGGCGATGATGAACAAGATAAGCAGACAGAAGTGAGCGGGACTGGGAGGTGGAGGATTATACCTTGTTCTTGCCATGTCTTGTTTCACAGATAATTCGGTTTGCAAATTGCAAAGTTAAAAACTAACTTTTGCTGGGCTAATCGGGCTTCAAACTCTACTGCAACCCACTAGACAGAAAACAGGCGGGCTCGGAGTCCAGTGTGTCAGACGATGCAATTATTGATGCAAATGACTTTACTACCATTCCCCTCGTGATTCCAGCTTGAAAGTGGGCAATGTTAGTTGGAAACTTTATATGCTGCGCTGGGACCCGAACCAATCAACACTGACGGGGAGGACAGCCAATAGTGGTTGATGGGTGATCGTGATACCACATGACATGGGCCCGTTGCCACCCGTTTAGTTAATTAACTAATAATAACAATAATACTGAAGGACTTGTTCTAAAAATAATAGTAATAATAATACTGAAGGCCACCTAATCAAACTGCGCCCCGTGATATCATTTTTACCAACAATACAGCTTAAGACCAAAAATTGTCACCACCCAGCTTCCCTTGGTTGAACCAACTGCTCCCATGTGAAAGCCCGAACACATGTGACTGACTGTCTATCAACTTCGCGGACAAAAAACTATCAGCAACAAAGTCACAACTGCATACTACAAGAGATGCCATATATACTCTAATATTACATTGCAATAATAAAAACACTACCAAGAAGCTAGATTACCAATCATTTACAAATACACCTGCAAGAAACCGATATCAAAATTGACAATGTATACAAGAATGAATTCAACCCAATACCTCTGAACAGAATAACCTACAAAGAGATGTGTAGAATTGTAAAAATTCATGGGTCACCACAAAAACTTTAACATCAGGATATCCCCATCAAGGCTTTCTACGGATTGATGTTGCATTCTCGCAAATACATATTATCATAATCTACATACTTTGCCCAATAATTTTTATACTTAGGTATCCCTATCTCCAGCCATGGTTTCAAGTTGCCATTATAGTGTATAACAGCAGCTCGTTCTACCTCCCTCTGGTTTACATTAGGATTGTACCCAAGCCCAAGCACATGCCAAGATCTGTCGAGTGGATAAGTGCGTTTCCAAAATGTTATCAGACCAGGAGGCAGTGTCCCCAACTTCCACAATTGCCTGTCATGATTCTGCACACAAAATTTACTTGAAAATCAAAAACAGGATAATTCACCAGCGTAACACTATGTACTTTTTTAAGTATAGGGTATGTCCACAATGAACCCAAAAACACTCAATTAAAATTCCCAACCTAGTTTTTAGCATTTATTAACCCACTCATAAAAAAGTTAAATCATATTCATGACTCTTGGATAAATAAGTCAAAATTTCAATTTCATGTCTATTTTAAAGTTTAGCCAGGATTTGCACATCACTTACCAGCTTCTGCCATCTATGATATACATCAGTGATGTTTTGCCGCCTCCACTCCTCCAAATCAAAAATATTCATTCCATATGCCCATCCACAGGCATGTGGGTCGAAGTTCTTTGAGATGAGAGGATTTGAGAAGTTGAGATACCGATCAAACCGATGGAAGCTTTCTCCACATGTCTCAACAGCACCATTGACATTGCCCTTCAAATCCAGGGACCAAAGACCACTGACGTCCTTCCGGACTACTATATCATCATCTAAGAACAGCACTTTATTCAGTTTCGGGAAGATCTCTGGTAGGTAAAACCGTAGATGGTTCAGGATGGACAAATATTTTGGGTTACGGAACTTCAGATTTGAATCAGAATTGGCCCGATGTGCCCTGAAGTAATAATCAATCATGGAAGGAGAACCTAATTGCTTAAGGACTGGACTGTAGCTTGAGTTTAACCATGTAAATTCTTCAATGTTCTGGACCTGTATAGTGGCTTTCCCTGGTGGATTACTTAGAAACCACATCCTCATTGCTGCATAATTAAGCCTATCCGTAACAATGTGGAAAACATGATTTGAAGGGTGCTGCCAGGAATTCAGTGAATTTGATAAGTTCAAAATGTCAACCAAAAGCAGAGGGATCAAATGTCAAAATGTACATATATCAAGTTACTTTATACACACACATGCATGCACACATATATAGTTTAACCGTTACTTCCCAAGAAATTGGGTGAAAAATAAAAAAATAAAATGATAATGGCAATCTAAGATTAAGGTGATAGACCATTTCTCTTTCTCCTGGCTACTAAAGCAAGTACAAACTAAGTATTTATAGGAGAGTACATTCACCTTAGCATGGGAGACAGTTGAGTTTACAACAACTGCTGCTGCTAGTACATTATCCGAGAAAAGTGCATAATGGTACAGCTGGGGGTCTTCTAATTTCTCTTGATTTAAAAAGTTCTGTTGTGAAGAATTCAAAGCATAATACTCAGTAGTAAGACGCAAAGGCAGGCAATGAAGACCCTTGGGAAGGGTTTTTGCAGTTAATTGTGTCAAGAACATAGTCTGTTTTTTGTGGACTCGGAGTTGCTCTTCCGTTGAGTGGAGCATAGCCCGAAGCTTCTTTACCACAGCAGCACAATCATCTTGAATCTGCTTACCTTTTTCTAAGGATTGTTCCATTGCTTTCAACTTATCAAAGGCACTGCAAAAATAAGATCCATATTAACAGATTAAAACAATGTGGAAACCACATTCTATACCTAAAATGCTTCAAAAACTTAGGTGGCTGAAAATGAAAAGAAAAAAAAAAGAAAAGAAAAGGGATATCCGATAGAATTTGACAAATGATAAACCATGAAGAAAGTTTAAACAGAGTGCAGTTGTCATATGCTGAGAAAGAAAGCTTACTTCTTTGGCAGATCAGAGTCCTTGGTTGCATCACCAAGAGCACGTGAAACTTCCTTAATCCGCAGTCGAAGCTCCCTTGTAACATGCGGGTTGCTTTTGATGGCTGGAAGGGAGAGGTACACTTTCGCGCGGATGAGCTGGTCTTTGAGATGACGTACCTGAGCATCTAGTGGTTCAGTCAGTGTGCTGGATTTGTTATCTGAATGCTCTTTCTGATCAATGTTGCCAGCCAGTTGAGTGGGTTGTTGCTCAAGCTTTGTACCCTATAGATAGAACGAAGAGGGTAAAATTATTAAGAAAAGTCCACATTGAGGTTCAGAGTTCCATTTATTAAGAAACCGGTTTTAGGTGTAGTGAAACATGAATTTGGAAATGCAAAGCAATTAAGCAGATTTATAGTTGTTGAAAGCTAAAAGGCATGCTCTGAAAAGGTTGAGAAAATGAAAAAATGAAAGGAAAAAGAAAAGGGAAGAAATTACCCAGCGGTGAGATGCATTGGGATGGGAATCGAGGAGAGTGGTGAGATTGGCAGGAGCAGGGATGGTGACCTGTCTAATGGGGTTGTGTAATTGGGGATGACGTTCTTCATCTGTAGCAGAAAGCACTCGTGTTGATTTATGCTCCCTGGTCTCTGTGACTGGGAAATCAAACAGCATCAATTCACACTGGCATTGCCCAAACTAAAATCAAATTATATTACTAATTGCAGGAAAAAGAAAGAAAGAAATTGTCTACCTTTACGAAAAGAATTGTTGGAGGGGTCCGAATATACGATTCCAGCGGGTTCTTTGATGGCGGTGGAAGTTTCCTATCACCAATCACCAAAATTAGAGATTGAAGGCGTAAGATCTGAAATCAATCAATATAAATAGGATGGCTGGATCTATATTAGTACCTGAGGAAGAACATTGAGACGCCTGGTGTCGCCGAGCAGCGTCTGCAGAAAAACGAAGAGATTCATATTATCTTGTTATGACTGCATCGTTCTTACTGTGAACGCAAGCAAAGAAAGAGTAAAGGAACTTACAAAAGTTGCAACATCATCAAGAAAATCGCGTGTAGCTGCAGAAATTAGCGTTAAAAACAATTGAAAGAAAGGAGGAGGAAAAATGAAAAGCAATAATTAAAAAGAAAAGACATACAAGAAGAAGGATTGAAGGTGGCGACCCTATCGGTGTAAAGAAAGATGGGAGCAATGACGGTAACCGACAGCAAACCCAACACCAAATGCCTCACCTTCATATTTTTTTTTCTTTTTGATCTTTTATTTTTTATTTTGACAACAATCTTGACATTTCTTCACCACAAGAAAGAAAGAGAGAAAAGCCAGTTTCTGTGTACGTGCGTGCTACTATTGTGTTGGCAGAGGCGGAAGGAAAGGAAAAAGCATAACAGATAGACGAGGAGGAGGAGCCTTGGATGAGGGAGAGAGAGACAGAAAAGGTTTTTTATTTTTAATATTTATTAATTGGAATTGGAATTTTTCCGTATTATTTTTAATTCGTCAGTCAATGGTCGACCATAGCTGTTGCCTGTTGCCTGTTGCCTGTTGCCTGTTGCCTGTTGGTGTTGGACAACTTTTTCCCTTTTTTCCAAATTTGCAGATAATTAATACCGTAATTACGGGAAAAAAAATCTTAATCTAATTCCTATTCATGACTTATTTTTGGAAGATAAATGTTTTATATTATCTTATCTAATCACTTGCCTAAATAAATTGATAATTCTTGTGAACTAGTGATTTATCCAAAGGCAACCAGTCTCACTCTTTCTTTTGGAGCATTAAAAAACGATTAAGCCCACATCAACGTCATTTCTGTCTGTACAACATTGTGCAACCCAAGATAATATTGTTAATTTAAATGAGTGGAACAGGAATCCAATTACCTTGGCATAATCAATTCAGAACTACGGTTTCATTCATATCTATCATGGCATTATTAGACAATTAGTACTAGAATTGAATACTACTACTTGTGTGCTTGGCCGAAAAGAAAATTACATGCGAGTAAATGGTTAATTTTGGATTTGTGGCAACAAATCTCACTCTTGATTTCTTTTGTCTGTGTTGCTACGTATGGCTGACTGAGGGAGAGAGAGTGAGTTCATCACTGTTATCTGCATGGTGGCATGCCAAGGAAAAAGACAAAAGTGTCGGCAGATTGCCATTTGATGCTCAAACGCCATTTCCATCTCCATTTTGTTACCACAAACCCTTGGAATTTGCATGTATTATATATATTAACCATAGTGCAAACTGAAATACAATACTCACCAAATTGGACTAATCACTTAGCCAACTTGTTTACTTTTTCTCCTCTCTTCATCATCTTCACCACCCATTTAGGCTTTTACTTGACACAGCTTTTACACTCGAATATAATATAATATCTATATTTATATATTCTTTAGTTTTCCAAATTAATGCTTCTTTTTTACAAGACTACAATAAAAAAAAAAGATTTTGATTTTAAATTAGCTAGCTTTGTTTATTGGGCCCACCCTGACCTTGTTGGAGCAAGGAGGCCCAAATGCAATCCGTTTCCAGCCCACGCCCATCCTCACTCTCGTCAAAATTCTCAGAAAATTTAACCCGGCAGCCGCAGCCGCAGGTGTCAGCAAGGGATGATGAGAAGTTGTCTTCAACATAATTCCAATCTTGTGATCTTGAGACAATTCCGTCAAGCATCCAGGGGATATCAAATACTCCTAATGATGATATGTAATCCTTGCTGCTGTCTTGAGTTTTTCCCATTACACTGTTATTGCAATGCTCCATATCTCGTATTTTGGCAGCCTGGTGTAAATACTTCTTGTAATAAGAATCTTCCTCTGCTCTTCCTCTCTTCTTCTTCTTCTTCTTCTTCTGCTCCCTTTCCATTTCTTCCAGGTTTCTGTCAACAAAGGGATATATCTATATTACGCGTTCAACTCATAATTTTACATAGCATGCTTTTAATTCGCAGCAGAGTATGATATTTCAAAGAGATGAATTCAGATTGCCATGTTCAAAATGAAGTGGGAATATGTTGTCCATGTCATGTCACTTTAAAACCACAAGCAATACAAGATAGCTTTATATGAAGATCAAGTAAAATCAAAGCCATATCTTGGTTGTAAATCTGATGCGTTTTTGACCTGGTGATGTTCAAGGGACAGTTTGTTTCCATTCAAACTGATGGTGTGGTGTTGGTCTTGTGCCTGTCGAAAACTGCAAACTGAAAACGATGATGATTAAGCTTTGCTCAGCCTCACACGCTACGCCAATTTAAGCTAAAACACAACCGTCTCAACCACATATGCATGCGGCCTGCCGAACCAGATTGCAAATGTGTGGTTTCCTGCTTTTGCGTTTGCTCAATCCTCATTCTTTCAGCTCTCCACCCTAATTTTAGCACCAGATGCCACTTTTTTCGTTCCATTTTTAATCTGTTGAATCCTCTATTCAGTTTGCCACAACATTGGTATAAATTACTGAAACTGAAAGACCAATTCCTTGCAATATCATAATGGCAACTACTCTGTTCGCAAATGTGAGACGATGAAGTAATCCTGATGAAACCATGAGGATACCAATCTGAGCACAGAAACAGGGAGCACGAGCTACTTCTCATTCATTTGCCAATTTCACAATCAGATCTTGAATACAAAGCTCAACCAATCTGATTTGCAGCAATTCTTTTCTTCCTTGAAAAGCGAAATGATATTATATGAGATATGGTAAAAGAAAATGCCAAAGAATTACTGAATGTTTATTTATAAGAACAAAACCTTATCTGTCCTTCCATCCCAGCAGTCCACACTTTGCCGCTTGGCTTCCTATTCATATCACTAATACAGATGTAATACTCCAGTCCAGATATGGTACTCAAAAACATCACCCGTATGGGAAACGGTTTACATTCAATGCCACGGACCATATTTTCTCCAAAATATACAGCCTTTCACGTGATTTTCCTGGGTTTCCACATTTGCAAGCAACCATGATTGAGCTTTCAGCAATTAAACTATATCTTTACCAGAGAGGCAAGGGAACATATGAGATTTCACTGTACCTTGTCATCTCATTTTGTGGTCTACAGGACATTATTTTGTCCTCAACTTTGCATCCTATAATCACCGCCATCTCAGGACGGGACTTGCTTAACAACTAACTTACTTTCATTTCAAAACAGGAGGTCAACGCGTGGTCCACATTCTGTCAGCTCTAAGCACATCAACAAGCATTCTTGGTTCATAACCACAACAGGCATTACCAGTAGTCCCCACAAGAACAAGAGCCACCACGGAAATGATGGAACCGATTGGTATCTCTTACGATGATTTCCCTTCTCACCACTTGCGACACAAATTTAATTGCTGAATGGCAGTCACCACAAACTCTGATATTCTTCTTAATACGAATTGTGGATCCAGGAGGAGAGTTGAGAAGTGCAAATGCCAACGCAAGCTTCTCGCTATGGTACTGCAACTTTACTTGCCTCTCCTGCTGGTCCATGTAGAAAAGCACATGGCTAATGTCTGGGACATATCCGATTTCCTTGATTCTTACGCTAATCTCATCCCACATTTTCTGGATTTCCTCCATCTGTGGATGGCATCATCATTTGCCACGAACACATGGACTGTATTCTCAATTTCCACCCAACTACAAGCAGCTCCTTTTTTACCCCGCTCTCTTTCATCATTTTTTCTCACTTTAGCGGCATCACTCCATCTACCTGCAGAGGCATAAATATTAGAGAGCAAGACAAGGGGTCCAGAATCGTGGGGATCAAGCTCAAAAACACGTTCAGCAGCATAAGTGCCCAACTCCATATTCTTATGCATCCTACATGCACCAAGTAATGCTCCCCAAACAGCTGCAGTGGGTTTGATTGGCATTTCTCTTATAAACCTTTCGGCTTTGTCAAGAAGACCAGCTCGACCAAAGAGATCAACAATGGTAACATAATGTGAAATCTGTGGTTCAATGTTGTAATTACTCATCAACTTGAAATAGTACTGTCCTTGGTCCAAGAGTCCAGCACGACTACAAGCAGTAAGAAGACACAGAAATGTTATGTCATTAGGTGCAACTCCAATCCTTAGCATTTCTTGAAACCATTGCAACGCTTCCTTGCCAAGCCCATGCTGAGCATATGCAGTGAGCATGGAATTCCAAGAGACCACATCACTTTTTACCAACCTATCAAAAATCTTTTTAGCATCTTGGATACTACCAGATTTTGCATACATGTGGAGAAGGGTGTTCCCCATAAAAGCAACGATCTCTCCCCCGGATTTGATCACGTGGGCATGAACCCATTTGCCTTGTTCCAGAGATCCCGTGGAGGCACAGGCACCAAAAATGCTGCAAAAGGTGAAATGAGTGGTTGAAAATCTTGCCTAAGCATCTTCCGAAAGAGCCAAAGTGCATGGTCAGCTTGGCCCTTCCTAGCGTGGCCAGCAATCAAAGCATTCCATGAGACCTCGTTCTTGGAATGGAGAGCATCAAAGACGAGGCGGGCTTCATCCATGCAACCACAGCGAGCATACATGTCCAAAAGGGAGCTGCCCACGTAAACGTTGGAGTGTAAACCACACTTGAAACAAAAAGCATGGAGTTGGGCACCGTGGAAGTTGATGTGGGGCGCGTTAGGGAGGGCGGCGGAGGCCTTTAAAAGGCTAGACAAGGTGAACTGATTGGGAAAGAAACCCAGGGAGAGCATGTGAGGAAACAAAAGGATAGCATGGAAAGGGAAACCATGATGAGAATACGCAGTGATCAAGGTAGTCCACGAGACCATGTCTTTGACAGGCATTTGGTCGAACAGATTGCGGGCATCGTCCAAGCAGCCACACTTCGCGTACATGTTGAGGAGGGAATTAAGGATGACGAGATCATGGCGGAAGAGGGAGTTCAGGATGTGGGCATGAACGATTTTGCCTAGTTTGGGCTTTCTCAATCGGGTGCATTTTTTGAGCAAGAGATGGTAGAGAGTTCGTGGGGTTCCAGAGAACCCTGATCGAGGAGGTCCAGAACGTGAAGACCAGTTCCTGAGGGATGCAAGCTCTTTTGGAGAAGGTCCTTGTCTTCGATGATGCAAGAAGAAGAGAAGAAGAAGAATCCCATTGTGTTTGTTGGCGAGGAAGTAGAGTTGATGCAATGCATAAGTGCTATATCGGGAAGCTGCATAGGCAACTCTAGATTTCAATTTCATCGCCATTATACGATTATTAAGAAAGCCATTTACCACTGCCTCACTCTATAGCAAAACAGTTCATTCTGCAATGCCAATGCCAGCCCACACTCACCCAAAACTGCCATCCACTCAATCTGCTGCCATTGACTTGTGGCGTACATATAAACTGTCGCCTAGGAAACACCGCAAGCACAAACACAACATTTGTTTACCTTCTAAACTAGACAGCAAGTAGGAATCTCTTGCAGGAGCATGCCACAGTCAGCACGCAAAACATTGATGAATGCATGAGACGAATCCCAAAGACCATTAAAAACTTATCTATTTCACACAAATTGTGACCATACAAACTGAATTTAGGAAATAATCCCGCTCGTCTTTTCAATGGAAGTTCCTAGATTTCTATACAAAACAAAATGTTCTTACAAATTTGCACAATATATTGAGACAAAGGGGGCAGGAGGCAATGATCATTTACAGCCCAACACACTGTTTATGACAAACATAAGAACACGGATGCTGGCGGATTCTGATGCAGATGTACTGGGCAAGCTTCGTAGATGGTCCACTATCTGAGAGACCTGCCTAAAGATGGGTAGCACATGCACGGCAATCATTGGATCTGAGGGGTTTATGGCAACAGCTACATCAGTCATCCATGCCAGCTTTCTAGACGTTTCCTTATTGATATCACAAGCTAGTTGCTGGAAAAGAGCCAGCAAAACTCCTTGGCTCAGCGGGCATTGTTTCATTGACAAAATCCCTTGTAGATCAACCTGGTGTATCAAAAAGCACAGTTAGGTGCATAGATTTCTGTTATGTACATCCTTCTGGAAAGTAATGTCATCACCATTTAGAATAAAAAGAGATAAAAGTTCAAGATCTTTCAGCTATTCATATTGCTAGGAAAAACAATTTAATTTCCATGTCATCAAACCACTTCGAATACACAAATATTAAATATATACAATTACCCCGGCCCCTTTCCTGGCTGGGGATCACCAATCAGGCATATTTTATACAGTCATCAATCTCAAAACTTTTAAAAGTAAATGCTTTGTGCTGGCATATGCTAAGGTGACCAGTGGTTAGAAATACTACCACTGCATCAAACCTAACTGCTGAGCAAAATTTTGCCATATTCAAACAATATTTACAGATTGTATGAACCCATACATGTTATTAGTCACTTAATATGGGAGTACGACTATTCAGAGGTGTATATAAGCAGAAGCAGAACTTACCTGAGAACACAACCACGAAACTATTGAGACATCACTTCTGTGCAGGGCTGCAGTGAAGGCTTCATCATATTTCCGCTCAGCTATCAGTCTTGAGAGTTCTTTCGTTGGATCCACATGTGCCTCTGGCTGCTACACATATATAACCCTCAGAGTGAGGAAAATAAACATGAATTCCTCACAAGTTGCAAATACAATGACAGTGAGATTTACTCTTTATTTATGAAAATATATATTAATCTCTGCATCAAAGATTTTCTTCTTTTTCTACTTCCCTGTTGGGTAGAAAGAGAGAGAGAGAGAGTGAGTGTAAGCATACCATCTCATGCAGATGACCCAATGGTCCATTACTCAACTGTGTCACCAAGGGATTTCCTGCCTTGGAGTTGGCACCTGCAGCTGCAATAGCTAGAAGTTTACGTTGCCCATCAGCCAATTCTCCACTTAAGGTCTGTGTGATTGAAGTTGCTGAATTAATAGCATCCTGCAAATGTAAAGCAGGCCATATTAAAAAACTTATCTATAATAGCAAAGTCTACCATACAGGACAGAACTTTACATAAAAGTAAAAAGCTGCCTTCGTACAGTTTCACCATATTGTATATCAGTAAAATCAGCTGGTGACAATTATATACCCTAAATAATTATTCATTCGAACAGAAATACTAGGATAGAACATAAAAACCTGCATCCAAAAATTTTCTTGGTAGCAGTGAAGTCTATCCTACAGCATAATACATTGCATAAAATTAAAGGCCATCCTTCTATGTTTCCACCCTACAGCATGTCAGTAAAAACTACCAGGTGCTAATACTATATTCCCAGCAATCTTCCGTTCAAACACAAATCCTAATATAGGGCATAAAGATCTACTTCAGAATTCATCCTGGTAGCATACAAGCCTGACAACAGGATTTTGCATAAACATGGTTGGGTAAAGGACACTTCTATTACTGCATACAACTCATTGTGCAACGTCATTCAGTCCATAGCTACGATTAAATGGTAAAATATTCTACAGATGCCCATCCTAGAAAAGATACTGACTGTAACCCAAGATTTTTCACCAAGCCAAGTAAAAACTACATGTGAAAAGAACATTCAATTTAAATTTGTTCATACAAGAAAGGTAACATTTAACATATTTAACACATCAAAGTAGGAATTAAGTTACAATCATAGGAACCAATGAGCTTACTGTCACTAATCTACCGTACCCGTAGAGCAACAGTAAGGGAAGAATGGGAATTCTCAAACTGCTGCTGAGCAGCAGTTGTATGTTTTATTAGCCCTTTCTGAAATGTGACATCAATTTGCTCGAACATAGATTTGCATGACATCTCAAAAGCAGGAATAATGGAGGATTCCAAGCTAGACCTCAATGCATCCTGCAAGGACAAAGCCATCAATTTCTAATCAGCACAAAAACATTAGGAAAGTTCAAATTGAAAGATAAATGAACGTTCATTCCAAACAAAAGAAAAATTTTAGCAAAGTCCAAAAGGAAAAAGAAAGTTATATCTTCTCCAAGTCAATCAAATAGATTACACCAAATTAACAAGATGCAAAAAGAAAAAAAAAAGAAATCTGTCACTGGGGAGGATGACCTATAGAAAGCCAAATTTGAGAGAGACTGAATTAATCAACACCAAGTACAATAGAAAAAAATAACTAGAGATTTCAGCACAGATTTTGGACATCCCAGAATCTGACAGCTTCTAAAGCCAAAAAGATACCCTTCTTATTAAGGAGATGTTAGGCAGGGTATCTACTTCCTCCCCAGGTCATCAACTTTAAATCCAAGAGAGGATTTCATCTGCCTTCTAGAGCAGGGTAAGTACAACCACATGTATCCACATAAACTAGAGTTGAAGCTAAGCCTAAACTTGGAAATATGGGAACAAGAATTTCTTACTGAAGGGAATTAAGAGTTACTGCATCTTAGTAAAGGAAGTTCATGCATTGAGTAGACCCACAACTGATCAAATGAGGAAAGGAACAATTCTATTTCCCTGCCCTTCCTACATCTAACTGAAAGCTGCAGCTCACGGTGGAAAATTGGTGCTCTATGGCATATAAAAGCATTTAAAAAAGAATGCCAAACCAAAAATCCATTTGAACCAATGGAATAAGAATGTACACTAAGAATTGTTTCTATTGACTTTGATGATATTGGACACTACAAGTAACTGCATTTTTACACTAAAGGTAGACCATCCCTGAGAAAGATTATGAATTTCTTTTAGGACAGTCCATGAGACATCTGAACGCTTATTTTTCAGACAAGAATGCCCCCACCGATCTTTAACTAAACAATTTAGATTTATCAATGCACCTTCATCATCTAGAAATAAAGTACCCTCATTGTCAAGATACAAAAGAGGGAAAAATAAATCCATGGGAAGGCTCAAATAAATTCAATTAAAGAAAAACAACAGCCAATAGAACTAGTGTAAAGAGAGGATATATACAACAGAAATCACCTGAAGTGCTTGCTTTCCAGAAGTTTGAAATTGTGCTTGGATTTGCCTGGCCACTGTCGCTTCAAGTTTTGAACTAACTGACTTCTCCAGTTGATTCACTGCCCTCTCTCCTACTCCTTTCTGCAAAATGCCCAATTAAAATTGAGGACATAACAACCACTGTTTCAGTGACCCATGGAAATTCTATACCATAGTTTACTAGCATTTAGAAGAGCAAATTCACCATTCAGAATGAAGCCAATAGTTGAAAGAAAGGTATCACAGCAACAAATAGTGTATAAACATTTGAGGCTCTACTAAAATCTACCCAGAGACAAGAAGATAGGAGATGTTTACAGCATGATTTTCCTTTTCCAATAATAAGATAAGGGTCTTCTTAACACCTATCAGCATATTTTAAGGTTAGTTACATTACTATTTTAGGACATGTTCTTTCCTTTGATGCACTAGTTTCACCAAATTCAAGAGAAAACAATACATCAAATACAAAAATCTTTTTATAAATATCAACTTAACCAGTGCCAATAGACACCAGTTAACATTTCCCATAAGACAAAATTGCCACATTTCCTGTCATGGCTTCATTCATTATGGTGCACCTGCCCAAATAAATGAACACTTCACTCCAATGGGACACCAAACACTCTGAGATGACAACACAATTTGGCTCTTTTACCTGGAATGACTCTGTAATAGCAGAAGATATACTTTTCTCCAGTGTGGGAGTAATAGCACGAGCTACAACAGGGCCAACTGCAGATATTTCCTTCTTTAAGGATTTCTCGAACATGGCTGGCAAGTCCTTATTTATACAGTTGGTGATCAAATTTGAAATCTGCTGTGTACGGTCTCTCTCTAACTTCTCATGTTTTGCATTTTCATCTTGGAAACGAGCCCACAAAGCATCCGTGTTGGCCTTAACAACCTTCTCAATGCTCCTGCCCAAGGATACCTCCAGTCTTTTTCCTTCTTTGTTAACTGGAGCAGAGACAATTGCATTCATCTGCTTCTGCATTTCCCTTTGCATGCTCACTAACTGCTTGATGTAACAAAATCATCATATTAAGAATATGATATCACAAAACTTAACACACAGATACACTCACATCTTTGAAGAGGAGATTCTTTTAAAATTAAAAAGAGAGAGAGAATCCTATCTTCAAAAAGTTGTTTAAATTTATCTTAAAAAACACACTACCTGCTCAAGCACATCCTGCATGGCCAGCAATTGGGAAAAAGCAGTATCAGCCGACAGAGCCCCGGAGCTGCAACCTGGTTCATTAGATGAATCTGTAGAATTATATGGACTTGCTGAAGGGGAAGATGGGCCAGATACTTGAGAATTTTTCCCCTTCTGCTTTTTCCCTTTAGCAGAAGCTAGAGATGGGGAAACAGTGATAGCAGTGTCTGATTCACCAACTTTTGGAGGGACATCTTTTGTCCCATTCTGGTCTTCCCCATCACGGGCATTATTAGGTCTGTCTGCTTGTCCTGCAACACCAACATCTTTAGCTTGTTGAGCTCCCTCAACATCATAAGTTTCGGCACAAAAATCTCTGGCCATCTGAATGCCAAGATCTGATGCCTGAGAGTAGAAGGCCTTTTCTCTTT